TTGCCAGAAATCAAATCAAATAAAGTCACACAATGGCCAGCGAGGACACGAGCTTTATTCCCGATCTTCCCAGCGGAGGACCTTTGGCCGCCTATCGAAAGAGGGCCAACTTTGACTGGAAGCGACTGCGCCTGATATTCGAAAAGGAGCAGGGATTGCGCATTAAGGTGAGTGAATTGCAATCGCTAATAAAGTGACAACATTTTGGAGGGTTTAGGCCTTACATAACAGCTTATCAAATCGTTGAGTTTTGGTTTAACTCTGTAGATTCTAGACTCTAGAGTCAATAACGTCAATTGATGTCATTATCCAATAATGAGTTGTGGAATTTGTAAAAGCAATTTCTAGCACTACGCTTAGCAACCATATAAAGTTCACCTGTGACGAAGTAATTTTGCAACTTATATTGTTAAGTGACTTATTTGTAAATGGCGTTTCTTTTAGTTAGTTTAGTTTTTAAGTGCTTACTCACTTTAAATAAATTCTTTAAAAATTTAGAAAAATTAGAAATTTGCTTTTTTTTTGGCATTGACTTGAGTAAAAACTACGTCGAAAAAAAAATAATCATAAAAACTAAACTATTCGTAAGTTAATTCTAAACTATTGAGTTTCAAATGTATTTTAACAATATGAGTATTATATTAAAACCCTCGGGAGTGTTATAGTTTGGTATAGAAATGAAACCACAAAATAATAACTTTTTAATATTTGGTATAACATACTAGAGAGTTAAAATTTTATATTATTTATTTTTAATACTTTGTTTCTGGACCTTTTATATTTTTAACACAACGAGTATTAAGAGATAAACTATGTTATTTGTTTTGAGTGAAGATAACTTTTATTTACGAAGCTCCTTTTCATTTGCAGTACAAAGTATGGCGCCGTCTGGAGAACGATCCCCTCTTCGCCCACCCCTCCCGCACGCTGCCCATGGACGAGCAGAAGCGGCTGTGCGCCATGCAGGTGAACCGCATGAAGCATCTGGATTTGGTGCCCAAGGAGATCGAGCGCCTGAGCTTCTCGGCCAAGACCAAGTACCTGATGTACATCAACGAGGCACTGGCCTGCTATTCGCCGAGCTTGTCCGTAAAGATTGCACTGGGCGTGGGTCTATTCAACAATGCCATCCGTGCCATGGGCACCGAGAAGCACACGAAATACATCGAGGCGGCCTGGAATCGGGAAGTGATCACCTGTCTGGCCATCACGGAACTTTCGCATGGCAGCAATACGAAGAGCATCCGCACAACGGCCACCTATGATCCCAGCACCCAGGAGTTTGTGATCAATACGCCCGACTTCGAGGCGGCCAAGTGCTGGGTGGGAAATCTGGGAAAAATGGCCACGGTGGCCATGACTTTCGCCAATCTGTACACGGCTGATGGCCAAAATCACGGGTTACATGGCTTCTTGATTCCCATTCGCGATCCCAAGACCCTGCTCTCCTATCCCGGAGTTCTGGTGGGTGATATTGGCGAGAAGTGTGGCCTGAATGGCATTGACAATGGATTCGTGGTATTCACCAATTACCGGATTCCCCGCGACAATCTCCTCAATCGCACCAGTGACGTAACGCCGGAGGGAGTGTACGAGAGTGTGTTTACCGAACCCGGAAAAGTCCTTGGGGCGGCACTCGAAAGCTTCTCCGCCGGTCGCATCGGCATAATGCAGGAATCGGCTAATACCCTGTGTAGTGCCGCTGTAATCGCCGTTCGCTATGCCGCCGTTCGCAAACAATTTGGCCCGGAGCGCCAGGGCGAGGAAATGGCCATCCTGGAGTACCAACTGCATGTAAGTAATGTATTTTGTTTAATGAGTGTCTTGCAGGTCCTTGTATCAATAATTCAGTTTTTCTTTAATAACTTAATAATAATTTATTACAAATAAAAAACTTACAAAACACTTTGTAGAACTAAATAAAATTTGCAGTTGATAAAGTCATTTATTTTAAGTTTGACATTTTAAATAATAATTTAAGTTAAATTTTTCTTTAATAACTTAATAAAAATTTATAAAAAATAGAAATCTGAAATTAATTTGAAAAATATAAAAATACGAATTTAGAACAGTTAAAAATAATGTATAATGTTAATAATGTATTAGATACTAATTTCTATGTTCCCTATATCCCCAGCAATATCGCATCTTCCCCTATTTGGCGGCTGCCTGCGTCCAAAAAATCGCGACTGAAGAGCTGACAATCACGTATATGGAGATCATTGCCCGTTCTCAGGCGGATTCCAACGGTTTTGATATTTTGGTGAGTTGTTCTAGTACTTAATTTAAAACTTAATCTAATATTTAATATTTTAGACCCAGAATGCTGCAGAGATCCATGCCCTGATCTCTTCGTCGAAGCCTCTGATCACGTGGTCAGCTCGGGATGCCATCCAGGAGGCCCGGGAGGCCTGCGGAGGACATGGTTATCTGGCCGCGGCCAAGCTTGGTCAGATGCGCACCGATCACGATCCTCTGTGCACCTACGAGGGCGATAACAATGTGCTGGGACAGCAGGCATCCAACTGGTTGCTCCGCCAGTGGAGCGCCAGTCAACTGGAGACGCCCATCGGCAGCGTTAAGTTCCTGGAGCACCGAAAGGAATTGCTGGCCTTGAGTTATGCCTCCTTAGTGCAGAAGACTCCGATAGCCAGCTGGCAATGTAAGTCAATATGTTTCTAAGACCCTAACTACCCAAATTTATAACTTTATTATTATTTTTTTAAGCTTATTTAATTGCCTACATTTAAAACAAAATTAAAATAATTTTCAAAATGTCTATAAAATGGAGAGAATTTTTAATCTACCATAATTGAGCTCCATATGTGTTTTTTAGTTTAGATTACGGTTGAAGCCTTTGTATTTTTTAAAACAATTATTAGAACATTTAATCATATTTTTACCTTAACCAACAATTTTTTGGATTTAAAGGCAATTTCGATCATGGTATAAATGGAAAAAGCGTATACAGTTTTCTTTAAATTTACAATTAATTTAATTTTTATACCCGTTACTCGTAGAGTAAAAGGGTATATTAGATTCGTGCAAAAGTATGTAACAGGTAGAAGGAAGCGTTTCCGACCCTATAAACTATATATATTCTTGATCAGGATCACTAGCCAAATCGATCTAGCCATGTCCGTCTGTCCGTCTGTCCGTCTGTCTGTCCGTCTGTCCGTCTGTATGAACGCTGAGATCTCGGAAACTATAAAAGCTAGAAGATTGACATTTTGCATGCAGATTCTAGGAGTTCCTACGCAGCGCAAGTTTGTTTCAAAAGGGTGCCACGCCCCCTCTAACGCCCACAATCGCTTGTATACGATTTTAAAAATTTCAATATTTCGGAAAAGTAAAAATGCAGTTTTATTATGTTTATGAATACCTATCGAAATGTAGAAGAAATTTTTTAAATCGGACCATTCGTTAAAAAGTTACGGCGGATCAAAGTTTTTATCTCCTTCGCACTCCCTTAAGCTGAGTAACGGGTATCTGATAGTCGGGACACCCGACTATAGCGTTCTCTCTTGTTTAATTACAATTTTGTAATGTAAAAACAAATTTTTGTTTGTCACTTCAAGCGAATGCCTGCTTTGCTGCTTGCATATCTTTATCTCTCTTACACTCATTTAGCTGGATACAGGGTATTTGATAGTTGAGACACTCTAATGTAGATTTCTGTCTTGTTTTTATTAAATTTTGATTAATTTGTTTAATTCGTTTTCTTTTAGTCTCCCTCAGGTGCTACGAGTGGCTGTTGTGCCACCTGATGGCCCAAACCACGGCCCACATCGAGGGCCAGTTGGCGGCGGGAGGCAGTCGCTTCGAGGCGAGGAACAACTCCCAGGTGGCCGGAGCACGTGAATTGTCCTTGGCCTATGCCGAGTATTATGCACTGACTCGCTACGTCGATCACGTCACTAAACTGAAGGTGGAGGCCCCGTATGCGTCGGTTCTTCGCCTGCTTTTCGATGTCTATGCCATGTGGCTGCTGGAGAAGCACATGACCACCTTCTATGTGGGTGGCTTTGCAGCTGGCCGGGATTTCTCGGCTGCAGTGCGTCAACTTCTGCTGGACAGTTGCCTGAAACTGAAGGACGTGGCTGTGAGCATAGCGGATGCCATTTCGCCACCTGATTTTGCCCTGAATTCGGTGATTGCAAGGGCGGATGGTCTCCTCTATGAGAATTTGCAAAATGAATTTATGACCAATGAAGGGGCGTTCCAGCGACCCTCCTGGTGGCGTGACGTCATCATACCACAGGCTCAGTCGAAACTTTAAGGATCCCCACCGAGTTTTCCAGGAGACGAGGATGAAGACAAGTGCCTGAAGTGAACCAAGTTTAATTGTAGTTGTTATTGCCTCATTGGGTATCAGGTATTATGGCAAGCTACATTCTCATCGGTCCTAGTAAAACGTTTTTTATCATTTACCAACTATAACATACATTCGAGTATTTTAAGATCAAATCTGTTACTAGTTTACAGTTAAAGAAGTTTAATAAAAGTATATAAATGAAAATAGTTTTTTAATTGTTTTGAGTTTGATTTTAATAATAATGTCTTTAAAATTGATGAACAAGTCTATACGTGGTTAAAAATATGCCTCCCCTACATATTTAAGGACCTGAATTGACTAATTTAAAGTCAGTGGACTTAAATCAAGGTACTTTTCTTTCTGGGTCTATGTAAAAATATAATTTAGAGATCATGTAAATCCTTAACTCAGGGAATCCAACCTAAAAAGCAAATAAACCTTTCAGAATTAAAGGTATCTTAGAAATAATACAACAATCAATAATTAAAAAATACTTAAAACTTGCATCAAAAGATACGCTTTCAATCAGGAAAGAGAAACAAAAACTACTTTTTTATTATGATTATTCAGCCAACGAGCCTCCCCTACAATGAATCCCCGAGGCGAGTGATTCGGTAAGCGTTGCGACTCTCTAGTCGGTGTCATCGCGGCGTCGTCATCGCTACGGGCCAATCCACAGGTGTCGGATCGTTTATAAGAGGACCTGGACCCACCTGTTCCGACTCAGACGTTGCCCAGTTGTCGCCCAGTGAAGAAGATCGGAGCGTGCGAGACCGAAAAACGAAAACTGGTCAAGAACCGAATCATAAACAAATCAAGTGAGTCGTGCTCGCAGTGTTTCTGTATCTCTTCTTACGAGCTGAGCACTCTTCGGGATTCTCTATCTATATAGAAAATATAGAAAAGATCTCCTCTCCCGGCGATCTTGGCAATATAACATTGATAGTTTTGCCAATTTGTTGCGCAGTTTTGGTTCCGTATTGAAAAGTGTATGTGGTGTGTGGTACTAAGTGATCAATGTTAGTCGCTCTTATCAGCAATATTATAATGATGTTGTATAAGAGCTCGCTTTGAATCGATTCGGTGATCATCAAAGTCAGGGGCAAAATAACAAAAAACGTTCGTTCATCGGGAGTGCTCCTCAGTCGAGTTCCTTTGTTTCAACAGAGCCGTGCAAAAAGTTGTTAATTATTAATATTTTATGTACCCAAGAGAAAAAAGGAAATTATTTATCATCTTCAGACCGGTTGCTCAGCCTCAAAGTCATTCAATTAGAACACCTCAATTGTTGAATACAAAAATCCCCGCTCTAATGGCAACTTGATAAACTTCTGTAAAAAACAACAAAAAAAATCAGATTGGAATATAAATGGCGCACCAAAAATATTCGGATGACAGGCAGAAGGGAAAAACAAAATAAAATAATGAAACAAAACATTCAATATCAATTTCTAAACGCCGAACAAATTAGTGAGAACCGGTTCGTTCGTCTCTTTTTGTCTTTTGGCAGCCGAACAAGCGAATTGAGTCAATAATATACAGAGTCATATGGAGATCCATTAATTTACATTTTGGGGTTTTCTGTTTTCGCTACGGTTGGCCAGGCCCTCCTCCCTCTAACCGGGCCCCGTGATTTCTTTTCGCCAATTCATTATTGAAAAATCGTGTAAGGGCAATTAGTTGTGGGCTGGGCCAGGGAAATAAATATGAAACGCTTGTAATTGCCGACTATGGGGTGTAGACTTCGTGGCTGGTTAAGCGGGGGATGCAGTGAAGCCAATGACCCTCGGTTAGGCATCCAAGAATCGATTACTGCCAGTGCATCCCATTATCCCCTGCTTCCCGCACAGATTACCGGCTTATGCAAGCGGATTTATGGATTCTGCCCTGGGGCGGCTAATGACAATGGGTGTGAAAGTATCGGTATCGGGGAACAATGAGCCAGCAGGTCCCAGTCATTAGCAGATGCTACTGAGCAAACTTCAGGTCCGATCTTACATAAGACGAACTCATCTTGCCATCTATAGGCTATGGATATGGGTATACCATTTCCGCTTTAGTCTTACACACACACTAAATTAATAGGGCCTAAAATATGCATCGCTAGTCGCAAACAAGTTCTATTTACAACATTATTCGAACCAGTTCTTAATAACTCCTTTGTTTTATTTTTTGTACACCCCCAGCTTAAAGCATACAACCATTTTGCAGATGCCAGTTAAATAAGATGTGGAAATTTCTGCTTATTTGTGTGGTGATGAGTGCTCTGAATGAAGAATCATCGGGGGGTAAGTAAACCCATAAATATGCCATTTCCTGAATTATAAAACTTAAGATTCGACTCATTAAGCTTTTAAGCTCTTAAAAAATTATACGGATATATGGGTTTTTAAGAACAATGTATAAGTAATATTTCTTAAAAATATATACAGTTTGGTTAAAGATTAATCTATGGGAGAACAGAAACGCAGAGGATACCAATTTTGGAACGATAATCTTGGTTCCTTATTTATAATAACTACCAGATCACATATTATATTGTATAGCTATGTTTTTATAAAGCTCAATAACTTATAGATGGTTGTTCTATTCCAGCTAATCCAGGACCCACCCGAAGACGTCGTGCCTACGCAGGAGGATACGCAGGCGGATATGCCAGTAGCGGAGGAGGAGCCGGTGGCTACACGGGATCCTACAACAGCGGCGGTGGAGGCGTTGGACACAGCAGCTATGTGGGTACTGGTGGTGGAGGCGGTGGTGGTTACTACGACTACGATGACTATGGTGGCAGCTCGCCCAACTTTGGCATCATCGATCCGTATCTGTTCCATCAGCAGCTGACGAACCACATTCTGGCTCAGAATTACGCCAACCAACAGTGAGCATAGATCTTTTTAGCGGGTTATATTGGCTTGGGGTATTGGGTACTCATCAGGGTTATGGTTATGGATTTATCGCTTGATTCTATCTATTCTTGTAGAGCTATAACGGGATTGGCCACGGCTGGCAATGCTTATGCATCTGCGGATGCTTCTCTAGTCGACGACAACGATATGTAATTACCACTAGCTAGTATTTAACTAATCCGAATACTAATATAGGGGTCTTTTATCTGCCATATTTTAATATGTTATCCATTGCAGCCGCATCCAGCAGCAAATCGCCGCCCAGCAGGCCTATCATGACAATCTAGTGCGTCAGAATCGTTATAGAGGAGGTTCGAGCTCAGGATCAGGATCAGCTTATGCATCAGGATCAGGCTCTGGATCAGGATCTTACAACTCGCACCGTTATGCACCCAGCTATGCCTCTGCCTCGGGATCTATCGGACCCAACGGCTACCGCCAGACGGCCTTTATTAACCCAGCTAATCCGGTAAGGGACCTACATAATTAAAATTAAATTATAAAACATTTTTCCAAACTACTAAGGAATTACACAAATCTGTACTATCAAATGTTAATAATTTGAACATGCTATCAACAAAACTTTTACAACGATATTTAAAAATCTAAAAATTTACAAACTAAAAGAAACTTGAACTTTTTAAAAAGAATATGAATAACAATTTTAAATTAAATAGTTTATTTTTTTCACGACCATTCTTAATCATTTTGGAATTTTTTTCAATTTTTGCGAATTTCTCAAATTCTACTTGATGATTTTCGACTTTAATAATGTGCAAATTGTACCAATCCCAAATAAATATATTTTAAAACGTTAAAATCCATCCATAAAATCTCCATTTGATCTGAAAAAGTTCCAAAATAGAAGTGGAAACGGATTGTTATTGAATTGGTTCGTTCGGTTTTTTTTTTTTAATTATAATTATTATTTGAAATTGTTTATTGAATTATTTCTATCTACAGGCTTCTCCCAACATTGTGAATCGTTTTGGAGGCGGAAGCGGAGGCGGTGGCTCATCGTTCTCCAGTTCCAGCAGCTCCGGAGGAGGAAGTGGTGGCGGCGGTGGTGGCTACAAGGGTGTCTCGGTGTCGTCCTTCAGCCATAGCAACGGAGATGGAACCAGCCGACGTGGAGCTCAGACCACAGTGAACGACAACGGAAAAGTCACCACGTACTCAGTGCATTCTTAGTGCACTAAAATGCGAGAAGACCCTCTTTCCGACACCTTTTTGGTGGATAGGCTAACATCTACTACGGTCTGAGAAAGCTTACCGATCCCATTTAATAAGTATACAAAAATATAAATATACGTGTATTTTATTGTATAACCTCGAACTTTCATATTGGTGGGGCTTTTCAGAGATTTCTATTGGATTTATAATAAAAAGCTTTCTTTTATTAGAAAGTTTTACTCTCTCATTCTCATTTACTCGCATAGACAAACAAATATGCAAAAATTGTACATTGACCTTGATTTTGACGTTGCTTATGTGGCAAACAATTATTGTATTTGATTAGGTACAAGTATAAATAAATCGACTATTCTTAATCAGTGTTTGAATTATGTATAACATTTTAAAAGATTATTTTCATTTATTTTGATTCAATGTTTTCTTTTTTTCTTGGACGGATGAGCGTATCAAAGGTGACAGGAAATGATCTATCTTATCATATTTGATTCAATATAAAATTGCGACATTCCAAGATCGTATTCTTTATTTGAGGCTGAGTGAAACCGGAGTCGAGATCTGAAATTTTGTTTCTTTTTAATATACTTTACCAGTTTGTCTACATAATTAATATCATTAAAATAGTATGTTTCTTTATAATATTTTATCAAATTATTTATGTGATTCCTTTGGGTTTTTATAAAAATCGCAAGGCGCAATATTGATAGCAATCATGACAAGACTCTTTTCAGAACTGGCTTGATATTCAAGTACGTCGGAAAACGAAATTAGCACTTCCTGAATACGAATTAGAACTCAAGGTTTTCTATATATTCCTTCACCTTGGTCACAACGTATTCTAAGTTCAAAGTGAGCTCATTACCATTGTCTTCCACCTATGAGCCTATTTATATATATATGTAATCGCAAAAGTGATAATGCTGACACTCGTTCATGGCAACAAAATACCAGGCATTTCTTGAGCAAGGCTGGGGCGATCATAAAAAATGAATTAAAAAATATTCTATACAGGGCGATGATGTCGCAAGTAACTTTCATCACTCGGCTTTCTGCACCAATTGCGAGCTCCAATTTGACGTGTACTATCAGTACCATTCTCTCTAGGTCAAAATCTTGAACTGATTCAAGTCTGAGTTGTAGGTATGTATGTAGGCCTTATCACCGACGATGTCTGAGCCTTTAAAGCGGGGCTCCGTGCGCTCGATTGCATTAGTACAATTTTAATCGCGAGTGTCGAACGTGTTTTCCGGACTAAAGTAAAACAAATTACCAAAATGAACAAGCTGCTGATTTTGGCCCTTTGCCTGGGCGTGGTCTGTGCAGGTAGTGAAACTTGTAAAATCAAATACTCCTGAAAATTACAAACAGGATGTGAACAGTGCTGCCTAGATCCTGTTGATAAGGTTCAAGTTTTTTGAGGCTTCCTATCGGCTGCGTGTCGTCAGCAGCTCTCGGGTTTTTCCTCAATGAAATATTTACACAATATTATGGGAAAGTTGTGTAATTTTCTGAGAATGCGACGCGTGTGCCGATAAGAGATTGTAAATATTTTTCAGGGTAGATTATATTCCATAAAAAATATACAATTTAAAGCGAGTAAGCTTGTGTACATACACCATTAAAAGATTAATGTATTTCAAATCCAAAAGGTGCATTAGTATGGCAAAATGTGGCCTATAAAGTAGAATAGAAAGGATATAGTATAAGTATTGGGGATATTTTAAGAATTTATTTTACAACAGATTTTAACAAATCTTTCTTTCTTTATCTTTACAGATTTCCAGGGAAGGTAAGTTGGCCTCAGAATTTATGTTTCATGATCTAATCTTATGGTCTGTTTTCAATTCCTCAAATTCAATATTTAGTAGATCTAAACGCGAAGATTTTCACTCTCGGTAAGTGCCTTGTGGCAAATGACAAAGATCTTTCTTTTTTGTTTCAAAAAAATTGAAATTTCCCCATTGGCTTGCATGGCACTTGAAAAATTAAATCAAAATTAGTTCGATAGAATTAGAAAGTATTTAGTAAAAGACTGGGCAAAACAAATTTAAATATCAACAATATTAGAAAGACAACGAACCAATTTATTTTATTTTCACTAACTTTATTTTGGCTGTTTTTTCAAGAGCTCTAAAATTATCGATATTTTCGATTATTTCACCATACCGATTTACCTAAAATTGTTTGATTTTAAATATCGTTTTGAGTACCAGTGTATCTTTTGAATACAGTTAGTTAACCAAGTTATTTGCTCAAATCTTCAGCCACTACAGCGCCCACCAGCAGGCGATTGATCAGGCCCGCAAGAACGCCGGCTATGGAGGTAGCATTGGAGGCAGCTTCGGTGGTGGCTACGGAGGAGTCGCTGGCCAGGTCGATGGCTCCGCCAACCTGGGCAAGCTGGAGAGCTCCTACGACTCTGTGGGTGCGACCGAGTCCGCCGAAGGTGCCAGTTCAGGAGGTCAAGCGGTTGAGAGCCTGGGTGGTGTTACCGGAACCCTTGGCGGTGGTGTAGGTTTGGGAAGTGGTTCTTCCTTCGACAGCTCTTTTGGCTCTGGCTTTGGAGCCCAGAACGCTGGATCTTTCGGCGCCCAGAACGCTGCCTCCTTTGGTGCCCAGAACGCCGCCTCCTTTGGTGCCCAGAATGCCGCCTCTTTCGGCAGCTCCTTCTCCAGCAACGCCGCCTTCCAGACCAGCTCCGCCGCCAACTTCGGCAGCACCGCCGCCCACCAGGTGGGCAGCAACGTTGAGTTCGCTGACAACGCCAATGCCGGCAACAAGGTGGACTTCGGTGGCGTCAACACCGTTCAGACCTCACCCGTTGCCGAGTACTACAGCCACGAGAAGGTTGTGTCCACACCCCAGCAGGTGACCTACACCATTCCCGGCGGCTCCCAGCGCTTTGTGCATCACGAGGAGCGCATTGTCGAGCAGCCCACCCAGACGCATGTGGTGCAGTCTCCGGTCCAGACCGCCCACTACTACCAGAGGAAGGTCACCACCACCTCCAGCGCTCCCCAGTTGGTGCAGCCAGCCGCCAGCAGCCGTTTGACCTATGGATCCAATGCCGCCTCCACCTTTGGCAGCAATGCAGCCTCCACCTTCGGCAGCAATGCCGCCTTCAACACCCAGTTCGGCAGCTCTTTCGGCCAGAACTCGGCTCTTAACTCTGGCATCTCCTCGGGCTTCCAGTCGGGTCAACTGGGCCAGCTGCTTAGCCAGACCCACCAGACTGCCCGCCAGCAGGCCGCCTCCCAGGGATCCTCGGCCAACGTGGTGCAGGCTGGAACCGGCTACAATGGAGCAGCACAGACTGGCTTCAACTCCGGCTACAACAGCGCCTTCAACTCCGGCTCGCAGTTCGGCTTCAACTCCGCCAGCTCCCTGAACTCCGCCAGTTCCCTGAACTCCGCCAGTGCCCTGAACTCCGGAAGCAGTGGCTCTCTGCTCAGTGGTTCCCTCTTGGGCGGCAGCCAAGGATCTCTGTTGAGCGGACAGGTCGGCGGACAGCAGTCCCTGCTCAGTGGCTCCCTGTTGAACGGACAGCAGAACTTTGGACTCGGACTCAACGCAGCGCAGACTAGCGGCAACTTTGGAGCCGGATTCGGAGCGGGAGCCGGTAACTCCGGCAGTGGCTTCCAGACCAAGGAGTGGGAGAAGCAGTCCAAGTGGTCTTCCCAGAACTCGGTGAGTCTTCTTTAATGTTTTTAATAAAAAGAAGGGTGCTATCACCGAACATACGAACTATTGCTACACACTAAAAAAAAGCATGTCGCCGTAAAATCGATCTGTACATGTAAATTACCATATCGTTTTTACATGATTTACTATTTTCGACCATATCAAATTTACCTGGCCCCCTATCAAGTTTAAACTGATATCACATAATGTAAAATCGATCTACGTATCATATCGTTTTTTTTGGTGTACTTCGAAATATATGTTTTAAAACGTTTTCAAAATTGGAAAACTTTTCAAAATTAAACAAGAGAGAATCTCCGAGAGAGAGAGAAATCGGTATTGCATGATAAAAACGATATGCGTATAAGTACCAGCAATTTACCATGTGCATATCGATTTGATCCCGTTGTGTTTTTTTGTTTGTAGCTTTTTTAAAATCGGACACTTTTTCCCATTCGTATTTCTGAACCCAAGGAATAACAACCCCTCTTTCTCTTCTTAGTACGATTCCAATGGTCATGTGAACAACTACAAGGATCTGGCCACCGGCGAGAGGGAGAACGTTAACATCAACGGCAAGCAGTACGGCTACCATGCGGCCACCGCCTCCGTCGACGACAACGGCAAGTTCGGCACCCACAGTGTTCACTCGTAAGGTGCGACGACAGCGAGCAGCATCCAAAACTAGAAACCTTTCGTGTTCTTAGGGAGTCGGCTATTCAACTCCGAGTGTTTTATGTAAAATAGTATGAAAGTAAAATTAATTGTGATTAAAAGCAATGATGTCAAGTTAAAAACTAAAACGACAGTTTTATTGGTAAGAATTGAATTGTTAGGATAGCTTTTCCTCAGGAGAAGGGTCTCTCCAGCTTGCCATCTACCACCTGGACTACCCCACTGTTGATCACACCCTTGTGCTGATCCACCGGATCTCTGCCGGCTTTGCTATCCCGACGCCGTCTAAAGTCCGCGGATGACATGCAGTAGCAGGGCTTCCAGCTGGGTCTCCGGTAAATCTGTCCCTGTTCCTGGGGCGCCCGCTCCGTGGTCCAAACGGGCACGTAGTGCGTCCAGGTCTCCCCGTTCCTGTAGATGCTGCCGGCATCGGAACCTCCGCCGGTGTAGACGTTCTCGGGATAGTACTGCGGATAGTAGTCACGGCGATTGGATCCCTGGTAGCCACCACGATTGCTGCCCTGGTAGCCGCGCTGTTCGCCGGAGAAGTTGGGATTCCACTGGGATTTTGGATCATATGGTTTGCGGGTCTTGTGCTTTGGCTCGCTGCCACCACGACCCTTGTAGATGGGCACACTGGCGTCCTCTGTTGGGGGATTTAGGTAAACGAAATGAAAACGTAAGATAAGTATGATATGATATGAAATCAGATTATTTTTATATACTTCATATTAGTTTAACATAAATGATTATTTCTGATTGGCTTTCAACAAATGTTGTATAAATATTTAATATTCTTATTTGTTTTAGTAATTAGTAGACTTTTAATTTTACCTTTAAATTAAGATTACTCTTTCATGTCACCAAATTAAATTGCTAATTCTGTGACCTCTTATTTAAATTGGCGCAGAAGGGAAAGTGAATTCGAAAGGGGACTCACCCTTGTCGCCCTGCTGCTGAGCGGAGCTGGTTTCATTCCCATCCGAATCCGAGGTTATTTCGAACGTGATGTCCGTGTGGATGCCCACACGCTTCTTGTGCTTGCCCAAATCCGTAATTTCCACGCTCTCCTTGGACTCTGTATTTGTTTTGGTTCATTTTGGGGCGCCGAAGGGAATCGAATTCGTTAGTTTTTTCGTATCGTGTTTTGCATTTCGCAGCTGGGGTGTGAGGGAATTTAATTACCTTTCGTTTGCTGCTGTCCATCTCCCGTATCTACGGTGACCCGAACGCCGTGGATCTTGGGTCGATTTCCACCGCTGGATGTTCCACCGCCGCCGCTGCTGCTTCCGCTGCCTCCTCCAGAGCCACCGGAACCTCCACCTCCTCCACCCAAGCCTCGTCCCGTTCCTGGGTCGTAGCTCCCGTTTCCAATCCCGCCGCCCACTTGGCCCGGCTGCCCCGGTAAGCCCGTCTGATTGTTGCTGCCGTCGCCCTCATCGAAATCCAACTTGGAGGACACTTTATTCGCCTGACCTGGTTGCCAGCGCCATCATCATCATCGTCGTTGTTTGTTTTCGGTTTAGCATGGAAATTAGATTTACCAGAAATTTAATTAAAGTTATGCAAACACCTTCTCTCCAGCACGGACTTTAATCGGAGGAATTGGAGCGTGCTGCGGGTCCGGCGCATATAAGTGATGCAATTAGCACACGCTGACTTATTTATGGATATGCACCACGATCCAACCGACTGAACTAATCTGGAACTTGAGCTGCTGCTGGCCGACTTGAGGTTGCACTTGAATATGCGCGGCCACAGCCACAATTATGGGATTAGTCGCAATCAGAATCGGATTTCGCTGGGCAAGCACCAATTAGACTACCGAATGGGGGGCAAAAGGGTCAGCTAGTCAGGGGTGCGAGTCCTCGATGGCCCAAGGACTTTGCCCGGCTGAGCATCGAGTGCTTTCAATTACTATGGATTGTTCAGTCAATTCTGCGGTAATCCCATCAGAGATTTGTGTAATTTTGGGGGGAATATGATTTTTAGAAATAAGTTTTAAATTAAATAAGAATGCTTTTCGCAAAGTAAACAAATTGTTATTTGAATTCGATTAAAATTGTATTACAAAATTAAATGTAAATCGAAAACTTGTATCAAAATTCCAGATCACATTTCACTTCACTTTTAACTCGAGTGGTGGGGATTTTTCAACCTAAATCCTCTCCGTAGATCCGCGCATGGGATAAGAGATTTCAAAAATAATTAAAAATTTGAAGAAAAAAATATTTACAATTAAAAAATGTTTTTCTCAAATATAAATTATTTATTTATCTAATGTATAGAATAGCTTTAGGATTTTTGCATTGTCAAAATAAATTTGAGTAGGTACTCGTTAGCCTAATTGCTTTGCCTACAAACTCATCTCCGGCGATCTGATTAGATTGTTTGCGTTCGTAGTTCCCCAACCACTGGAATTTCCCTCGAATTGAGTGACACGAAACCATATCTATTCCCGAAAATTCGAGCTGACTCATGGACGGACTTCTTTCACCCGCCGCGTGATTGATTATTGACCAATTACTCTGAACAACCTTGGACACAGTGATGAGTTAGCAGCAGGCCACCCAAAAATAATAACAATAGGTGGGCGTTAAAAGAGCTCGTTGTTGACAGCATCTTGCCGTGGAGAATCGAGTGTTCTAATGGGTATTTCCTTAGGAGTTTCTCGAAAACAGATCTCGAGAATGGAGCGCGTCTCGTGTGCGCACTTGAAAACCGCCGACTAACAACTAAGCGAGGCAAAACAACCAAGCTGATTTCAAATATCTACGGAGATTCATTAAAATTAACTGGCGAAGCTGGAGAGCAGAAAAAAGTTGCTTTTGTTTTTAAATCTACTTAAGTTTTAGTTACTGTTGATGTTTCGGCACAGTAAAAAAATGTGTACAGAAATTTCAATCAAATTTGAATTTAATCGATTTTTAATATTGATTGACTAAGTTCGAAAACTAAAAAAATAGTTGAAATTATTACTTGATAAATTTTAAAGTGATTTTAATTTAATGATCTTCATCGATTTATAAGCATTTGCTATTAGAATAAACATCAGCTAAGACAATCAAAAGTAAAATAAAAATAAATAAAAAGAAATACCTTGAAGGGGTTTAATGCCTAAGTTATTAGGTTAAACTCCGTTTTTTTTTGGTACACGCTTCTTAACAAATATTTCATCCTACTCCTGTGATTTCATCCTAGTTTTCTGATATTTTCTCTCAGTGTGCTTCTGTTGTTGACGGCTTGTTAGAGCTTTGCGGATAAGATCTTGACTGAGCCGAAGTGAGTTGTTGCTGCTGCTTCGAATGCACTTGTGGGTGGGGCCTGTTGCATCTGAGCGTTATGCGTAGATCAAACCCCGTACCCCTGTTCCAGTAATTGGACCTAATCGGATGGCTAGAATCTTTTGTGATTGTTTCGATGTAGCTTCCGTTGTATCTTGGAGATTCCATTGTATCGAGCTGCTGCTTTTTGTTCTCCGTTCTGTGTTTTGTTTTGGGCTTTTTCATAATGCTCTCATCGTTAATCATGGGACGCCGAGCGCTTCTCTATGGCCAGTCGGCAATTATATTCTGCGGCAATTTTGACAGCCACCAGCGATTATCGTCATTAGCCCCTTCGAAAAACGAATACGAAGTTCAGCGCGTCTCAAGTTCAAGTTGGCTATGAAAATAAATTGCGTTGTATTCGCCGCTTTTTTGGGGACTTTTCTTATTGGTATTTCTGGGCCTGCATTGTTTTTCCTCCCCTAAGCCCGTTGGTGGTGCACTAATGAAGTATTTTCCCATTTGTCAAGCAACGCCCCCGAATCAACCACTTCCTCGGGAAGGGGAAATTGCATTAGATGGATCTAGATCTCCCCATAACCGCACATGTTGGAATAATAATGTCGGGCCAAACAAATGTATAAGCCATAAATTCCAACCCCACATCATCGTACAAGAGTGGGCCCAGGGCAATTAATTAGCAATTGCATTTGGCGCTGTCATTACGTGTGATAATTAAAAGGACTGCCGGCTCGCCAAAGTATCCGGCCAAAGAAAACGAAAGAAATCCTGCTCCTGCAAATGTACGGCCATAAATTGTATGGCCCGGCCAACAGATCCTGACCCGTCTGCAAATGCACTTTAATCTCGAATTTATCAAGCGTAATAGTTTTGCCCCATCCTGCGGTTGGGTCGCTCGGCAAGGCTTTTGTAATCTCGGGGATTAGACAGGCATACATGTGGACACGTGGGGAAAGGCACATATCAAGGAAATGTGGGTGGGTCCGGACAGTGGGTTGGCCCGAAACCATTAAACAGATGGATTTCGTTGTCAACCTTTTTATTGCAAGGTATGAGTGGTCTAGAATCTAGAGATGTTCAGGGGTCTATTGTTTTCGAACGAATCTATTAATCCTGTCACGTCTACGAGTTTAAGTTCCTTAAAGCGTTTGATTAATTGCAATTTCAAAATACAACCCAAAACAAAATCTTGTTTAGCCTATATTGAAAATAAAATAATTTCAAGAAAATAAAAAAACTGGTTTGATATAATGGTCTCTAAAAAACAAACCATTAGAATTATTCTTTTAAAATGGAAAAAGAATTATAATTTCAAAAGAATACTTACAAAAAATGTAAGAAATCATCATTAAATTATGGACACGAAAATAAACACATCGCGGTCAGATCGATATGCGCATGGTAAATTTCTGGTATTGCGTTTCGTTGTTTCCGAAATCTCTCTCTCGGAGATTCTCTGACTTCGAAAAGGAGACGAAAAAGCAATGTTGCGTCTTAAATTACGTGAGTGGGAGCAAGAAGTATAAACTCTCAGTGCCCGCATATAAAGTCAAAATTGATACCATATAAAATTAAATCGATCATCGTTTCATAACATATTTTATTTGATTTTAACATATTACTAATTAACAAGTTCACTGTGATTTTGTACAGGAATTTTGATCTCTTATCGTACTGACTTGTTTAATCCGATGCTTGGCGACTCCATCTCGGTGGGCCAGAATCAGTTCCCCATTTGGTCTCTGCTCTCGACCGACTGACTGACAACCTCTTGCCGATGCCGTTGTGAGTTGTTGTGTGGTGGCCAGCGATTTGCACAAAGTTTTGCATTTGCTTACATCAACTTAATTTTCATTGTTTCTATGCATTTGTGCTGCACTGGACGGACGGAGGAGAAGTTCAAGTGCGTTTCCAGCGAGTTGCTTGCATAATTCTATGGGCCCTTCAAGACCAGAAAAACTTTTGAACTCGAATATCTGGCGGACAATCCCATTCGGACAAAGGCATACTTTCGGGCTGAGGGAAATTGGATTTTTGATATACTCACTTTGATAATATTCGGGGGTATCCAAGCGGAGTTGTGTGTGTTTGACCTGACCACAGTAGATTCTTTGTCCATAAATGTTAATTACACAAAATATATGTATAAAAGCCGACAGAAGGCCGAGCGGACACCTATCTAACAGATGCAGATACAAAGATACAACATGTTTGCCTAACCAAAGACAATTACCATTGTTCGGGGTACCGAACAAGGTCCGGTTTTGCAAACAATTAAACTGGCAAAATCAAAATCGAAATTTACTAATTTATGCGTCTAGCTGCCATTTGCAGTTTATACAATATTACTGCCATTTCTCTTTCCATATCTTAAGGCCCAGGCACAATTTCGGGGGGCCATCCTTAAACTAATGAAATAATGGGCCAGCCGAATTAAATTATGGCCGAAGCAGTCCCAAAGGATTCCGGACTCAGGACCCAGGACACGGGACAATGACTAAATTTGCACCCACCCGGGTACCGAAATTTTTTGATTGCATTGTTGCCGTTTGATTTGCAACCACTCGAGAAGAGGCCGTCACCCCAGCAAAGGGCAATTCGACACCTTGCAGGAATATCAGCCACCCAGACACCCCTCATCCCCTGCGATCCCAGCGATCCACTTCCACTTCCGCATCCGCACTTCCGACCCTCATTGACTATTCACACCCATGTATTTCTACATCGCGTCGTATTATTATTATTTTTTTTTCTCTTCTGGCTGTGTATAAAATTTTTATTATTTGCTCGTTTACGGCTTTAGCATTTGCTTTTTCCCCCACTCTAGTTTTCTCTTTTGCCGTCTGCCTGGGTTTATCGTTTCTCGTGTAGTGCGAAATTATCACAAAACGCATTGAATTTGCTTTTATTGTTGGCGGGTGTCGGCTGCCTTTGGTCGCTTCCAAGTGGAAATCATTTTCCACCCCCTTTTAGTCATCCCCCTTCCCCTAACCCTCCACATTGGCCTACACTCGGAATAAATTTTTAAATCGTTTTATTCAATTTCATTAGAAAAATTCCGAATATGAAGAGAATAATGTAAAATAATGCTCGTACATATTAGTAGGTAGCTCGAGGTGCTCGACTTTTCTGTTGTTTTCTTTTTTTTTCTGGAAGTAATATAAATGTTCTATTAAATATCCTAAGTGTAGTTGCAGCGGAAGCAGCGAGAGTCGGCTGCCTTTGCCGTTGTCGTCGTCTTATCGTCTATATGTCCTTTGTTGTGTCGCCACAGCCATCGCTGCTGCTCCTGATGCTCGTGATGCTGCTGATGGTGGATAGAAACCACAGTGGCTAAGTGTCAACTTAAATGCGGATTAATCAGGAAAATTTCGTATTAATAAGGGATTAACAACTATCGGAAAAAATGAGTTTATATTTATTTTTAAGAATTAATACAGACTATAATAAATAAAAACTAAATTGTTGGCGGAACTAGTGATTCACTTTAAATAAATTATTATTTAATTTCTATACAATACTTATTATAATAAAGTTTTTCGAATTAAAACAACCTGTTTTCTACCAGCATTTCGCCCACTGTGCATGCAAGGATTTTTTATGGCCACCTTCCCTCACTGACGTAATCTGGCAGGTTGCTTGAGTGCAAAAAAGTTGGTTTAAGGCCCTTAAAAATGGAAATGTTCGGTGCTGTTTCGAGGGCTGTCGCTGCTCCTGTGGCTTGTTGACCGTCCGTCAGCCCATCCTCCTCCTTCCCGCAAGGCCACCCCCTCCCCGACACTTACCTGACAATGAGCAGTGACAGCGTCAGAGGGGGAAAATTGGGGATGGAAAGGGAGGCCCTTTTCAAGACCCTCTTGCGGTCGTACCACAAAACCCCAGACCTCAGACCCCGGAAGTCTGCACGTCTGTTGCATCTGTCGCATGCCGGAACTAAGCGAAAAACTTAGAGGGGTGTGTTTTTTGGCGGGGGAGGAGGTCAACGTCAACCCCCCGGGGAAAATGCAGTCGATAATGATGCGTATTCGCACTGGCGATTATGATGAGTTCAATAGAGCTGCAAGCGGGACAACTACTCGACTTGACATGCATGATTTAGTGTCCCGTCTGCCGCGTTCCACTTGGCCACCCCAAATCCAAACCCAATTCAAATCCCAAACCCACGCCCTGTGACCTTCATCCTCTTTTGCTCCCGATTCCATTTGGCAAATTGCAAATAAGTCAGTACAAAGTGCCCCCGAACCGTGTCGTGTGACAATTCTCGCAAATTATGTTTTTTTTGTGCTTCCCTCCAGTTGGCTAGGAAACTGCAGCCAGCCTAATCCGATTACACTGAGCAACAAAGTTAAGGAGTTAAGTTAGGAATAAATTCAATTGTTAAATATTTAACTGATATTTCTTAATTTGGCAGCATTGTAACATTAAAATGTTTTCCAACTATTTTATTCATTTCAGTTTTAAATTATACAATTTTAATACGATTTGACGCAATAAAACTTTACTAATTTAACTTGGTGATTATTCGTTTAGTTTTTAAAAATTACTATACTGTTAAAAAACAATATGTCATAAATTCCTTAACACACCCCCTGCTCACAATTCTTTGTTGCAGAGTGTCCCTGCACCCATTTCTATTCCGATTCGCGCTGCACTTTTGGGTATCTCGCTGCCAGCATATGGCGCACTTGGCTGCAGAGGATTTGAGGACCTACCGCTTTTGGGTTACAAACGGATCTGAAAACGGTCTCACACACGCCCCATAATTGGATTTCGATGACTGCAAATTGGTGATAATTTCGATTCGCTTCCGGGCAGCTTCCACAAAACGCACGTGGTTCGTGAAAATGCGACCATCTGCGCCCGATAGGGCAGACTCTTTATGTCTGGTCGTGACCGGCTAAGTGCGGATTGCACAAATGGACAAACGGATTGGCGGGGCCCAAAGTCCACAATGGCTCTTTGTGTCTGGTCAAATAGCGCGTTTGTGGACGTAAAGCTGACCCCCCAAAAATGGGGGAAATAGAACGCGAAGAGCAAACGAACTTGCGCCTAAAACATGATAAGAACTATTATATAAGTGCTGGCGAAATATCTGGGAAATACAGTTGGCGACCACCTCATCAACATGAAGACCCTAGTAATTCTGACCGCCCTATTGGGCGTCGTCCTGGCACAGGATGGCACTTGCAGCGTGAAGTTTGTCCCACTGGGCAACAGTGCGTATTACTTGGAGCGAAACAAGGTAAGCAATGATCTAGGATTTTCTGTAATATATTCTTAAATCTTTAAAAATTTTAAAAAAGCACTTTTCTTAAGCTTTTTAAGTATTTTAAAATTTTGATTTCAGTTCAATTGGTGGGATTCCTCCCGAAGATGCATGGCACTGGGCTCCCAACTAGCTCACATCGACAGCGAAGAGGAACTGAACGCAGTCACCACCTATCTTAATCAATTGGGATTCTCCGCAGAAGAAGCGGTCTGGTTTTCCGGCTTTGGCATCAAATCCGGAGCTTGGATCTCAATCGCCAACTCCAAGATACTGTCCTTCTTCAAGTGGGGTCCCTCTGAGCCAAATGATTACGCAAGTTCCGAGAATTGCTTGGGCATCAAGGTCACCAGTGGCAGCTGGTCCATGTACGACTTGAGTTGTTTTAAAGAGTACGCGTACTTGTGCGAAAATGTATCGAAATAAGGCGGGAGGTTTTTTAATTAACAATTACCCTAGCAAACAAATTAAAAATTGTATCTTTATAAGTAAAAGCTCGTTATTTGATTTTACTTTATGATAAATATCTATAAGTCTATAAGTAATCATAAGGACTCTCAGGATAGGGACACAAAAAAATGAAAAATTTTTTTAAGTAAGTGAGTAATAATTTTTAATAATTTTTTTAACCATTTCGATAATTGAGGCTTTTCTAAGCATAAATTGCTCTAGTCCATTAGCTCTGGTATTTGCAGTATCTTTTGGTATATATATTCAAGAGTGGTCAACCAATTTTCTTCCTTTTTTCGTAATTTAAAAGTTACATATCTCTTCTATATGATCGTTTTAAAATTTCAAGGTTACATAAGCGCACTTTAAATTTTAAAGTCACAGAAAAGTTTTAAAATCTTAATTTGTGAACAGCCTTTAAAAATTAGATAAACATTTTTTCTTCGACAATTCTTTTTTGACCCAAAAATAATCATTTTTTTAACCCACTCGTCAGGTTTTTGTGAATGGTGTTGGAATTTTCAAAATTTTTTTTCTAACTTCTTTCCCAGTGACGATTCACAAACTGTGCCCACACCTGTCCAAATTTTAGTCTTCTTTCTTTTTTGCATTGAGTGTAATGCTAGAGATTTCTTTTAGTTCGATTAGTAAATTAAAATGTATTTATTTTGGTTCCTTTAATTCATATTCATTATAACACTTGTTAACAAAAATTTCTTAAAAACATAATACTAATAATAAGAGTTAATATAACAAAACCAAAAATTTTATTAAATATGAATATAATGTACAGGTTAATTGGCCTTTTTATTTTTTAGCTTATATGTATCGATCGTCCCTTGCATATTTGTCTAATTTGTGTATATCCTGGTGTTGTCGTATTCGCAAATGTACGATAGCTTGTAGCGGCAGACGTAATCGTTCATGAACCAAGGCTCCCCGATGCGGTAAAGATTCATGCAGTTCTCGCTGTTCAAATTATCCGGCTGGCCAACGTACCACTTGGCGTAGGGCAGCGGACGGGCGGGTCCGAACTGCAGCCAACTGCCCTGGCGCCCAATGGCACCCACCCACACCCAATCGCCCCGGTAGCCCATGGTGGATAGAAAGTCGACCAGCTCGTTGAACTTGTACTCGGAGTCCACGGTGGCCAGTTGGAGTCCCGCTCGGATGCAGCGCTCATTGGCATCGTACCAGGTTAACTATTTGCAAAAAATATATTTAAAAGATAAGTATTTTTTTTTCAAGCAACTTTATAAAAATTCTTCAAGTTAAAAACCACCCTTCTCAAAAGTTTATCCTTTTTGAATTATTTAAGTTTGTGGGTCTAGGTCTTTTTTGATTAATCATATTTTAATGCGGAATGTTTTTTGATTTTTTAATAATAAGATACAAAATAATATACTTTGTTGTAAACACTCACCTTGTCCTTGCTCTCCACATAGTATTGTTTTTCGCCGACCCGAGTCAATGGAAGTGTGCAGTTGAAGGCCTCTATTTCGGCTACTGCAATAGCAGCCAGGAGAACAACTAACCCCAAACAATCCATCTGTAACTATTGATCCCCTCAGTTTAATTACTCATTTATATAGCTCTTTCTCGCTGTAGATCTCTTTGTTTTCCAGGTTTGCACTTAAAATAGGTTTTCCCTGCTCAACCCAAATCGATAACAATTTTTTGGGCAGAGTGGGGCAGTACTTTCGATGTCTGAAATACTCATTACAGTGGATTGGATGGGATTGCGCCCACGGGGCGTTGCGTGTCAATTTATGCAACTCTCCTGCAATTTCCGGGGTATTAAAGCAATTTCCAACCCACTGGCCACAGCACACAGCCGTAGACATGGGCATGACTTAATGGGGAAGTCCTGCATGTGAAAGCTCCCTGTTCGCCAGTTTGGGTGTGACGGAAAAGCCCTTCTGGGCATTGGATAAACCGAAAGAGTGGGCGAATCGACGGCATCGAGGAGAGAGATTGTTTCGGTAGCTCACCAAAAAATTGATATCATTTTTGGATAAGGTGCGATTGGGCGGGGGAATCGTTTCAAAGCAGCTGAAACTATTATAACATTGCATTAAAAGACCTTTATTTATTAAAAAAAAACTTGATTATAGCATAAGGTAACATTAAGACCGATACTTTTTTATGATTTTAAAAAATTGTATGGGTAACTCTAGGACCAACTGTAAAATTATTATAAATAGTTTGATAATATTCTTAGGAACCTAGACTATTTTAAGCAGACATGTACATATATTTTTAAAGAGCACACTCTACAAAAGCTTTATACGAACTCTTAAAATATACCAAACAAACTTTTGAAAACCCTGCAGTTTTCTTTATTATTTTTTATTCCAAGCTAGGTTAGGCACCTCATTATATACCAATTCCTATAATTAAATTTCGAGAAGATTTAGCATCTAAATCAAAGTTTTGGTGCCCTGTTGTGAACCCTTTTCACCCGTTTCCAACCCCTGTCCTTATAGAGACAAGTCGTAAGTCTTACGAGGCAATAAAAAAAACTCTTCGAGGAGTGCGTATAAAATGTCAAAACGTTTTACCAGCATTTTGAATCCGGTAGCATCACAATAAAATGGAAAATTCGCAGCAAGTAAATGCAATTTAGCCAAACGGGTGGGTCGTCAAGTGACGCTGCACCCAGGGGGACTGTTTGATTTACCGTCAACAGGAGATTGAAAAAAAAAAATTCAGAAATAGAATCAAGCGGGCAAAAAACACGCGCCACCAAAAAGTGAATTAAGAACTTGTGTGCTGGAACGATGCGAGGCCAACCCAACGAGGGGTGATTTCCAGATGGGGTGTGGTTTGGCTTGGGGGGCAAATTGAGTTGCAACACTTGGCAGGTTTTTATCTACGCACCACAATCAAGCAGCCAACCGGCCAACGAGCCGGGCAGGGGGTCCCAGACCCCGTCAGCAGGTCAGAGACCATCCAAACCATCATCCCGTTCCAGAATACACTTAAAAAATAATATTTTCATAAATTTTGCTAAAAGCCTCTGGTGTTTAACAAAATAATTAAGATAATTCAGACGCGTTTAAGAATAAACATGCCAAATAATTTAGAGTACAGTTATTTAGCATGTTTTTTCTTAAACGCGTCTTTATAAATATTATAAATATCCGACTGCTATGGTAATTCTTTATTTAATAGAACTTCTGTTTTAATTTAAAATATTTACGTGCAAATACATTTCTTGAGCTCAGAAAGTTCCAAAATATTTAAATATTTCATGACTCGAAGAAATAAGAATAAGAAATAAAAGTCTAATCAATTACTGTTAACGTATGTCCTAATAGTTACCGTGAACCTATATCCTAATAGTTAAAAAAAATTATTTTAAACTAAATATTATTAAATAGAGGAGATTGTTATTTAAAGTTTTATTTTGTCAATCCTCGAAATTTTCTTCTTCGTTATTACAGAAGGAAAGACAGGATTTGTTTCAACAAATCTTCGCCGTGTAGGCCAATTCGGATGAATTAAGACTGTTAAATGTGCCGAGTGTAGGCGGAGTGACCAACAGCCTAGTCAGAAACCGAACAGGAGCAACTGTTTCGTGTTGGTGCCCGTTGATAACAAGATTTGTTTTTGAAAATTTCTGGAGGGTCGTCCTTAATTACGCCGAAAAGCGCAATGAGCAATTTGGAAATGGCAAGTGAGCGCGATGGCAGAGGTCTAAACCGCATCCACCCCAAGCAATTTAGGTAAATTAAATTTAGAGTGTGCCCATCCTTCGATTTTTGAGCAGGGCATCGCAGAGTAGCGCTGAAAAGTCAGAAGTGTATGGCCCGTTTGGTTGATTTAAGCCAGAGATAAGGGGAATCGGAGGACAGACCCAGACAGGATAGTGAGTCGGGGAAGGAGCAGCGGTTCCACTTCCAATTCCACCCTCTCCCGAGCACGCATCCTTAGACAAATTCTGGCAAACAGACACTCGACACTCTCTACACGGATATTCCATTAAAAGAGCCAGAGCGAATTGAACCATTTTCGCTTTATGATTTATTGTAATGAGCTTTTTATTTATGGCACGACTTATTCTATTGGCCAGAAACAGAAAACATAAAAGTATATATTGCAGCGTCTGCTTTTGTTTGCATTTCCCTGCCCGTTATTTCTGCGTTTTTGAAAATTAAAAATTAATTAGGCATTTATCACTTGACTGTCTAACAGATGGCTGCTTTCCGGGGGTCGGGGTGGTAAGTCGTTGACACAAGTACGGGGTAAGTGCAGCTGAACATGAATATTCCTTTAGGCAAAAAGTCCTACACGGAAATATAGTTAAGGTTGAAGTATTTACATGAAGGTTTAGGGATCCAGTGTGGGTCGGAATTAAGAACATGCACTTACATATTACACAGGCCGACAAAATGTGACATGGGTCGATGTCCAGGCCTGCAACCATTTTATTTCGATAAATTAGGCTTTTCTAAGCATAAGTTGCCACTACGCCTATAGTCCATCAGCTCTGGCATTTGCGGTATCTTTAATTTAAGAAAATTACAAAATTTCTTCGGCTTTTGGGATATATCTTCAATAGTGGTCAACCAATTTTGGTAATCTTTTCGGAATTAAATAGTTACATGTCTATTTTATACGGTCGTTTTGGAAAATTCAATCTAAGTCAACCACAAGAGGAGGTGGGCGCATTCAAAATTTTAAAGTCACAGCAAAGTTTAAAAATCTTCATTTGTGAACAGCGTTTAAGAATTAAACAAAAATATTTTCTTCAACAATGCATTTTTGATCCAAAAACACCTTATGTCCTTACTGTTTAGGACACTCATCAGGTTTTTGTGAATTGTTTTGGAATTTTTAAAATTGTTTTTCTTACTTCCTTCACAGTGACGATTCACAAACAGTGCCCAAACCTGTCACAATTTTAAATAACATATTTCTAAACGATCTAAGTAGTTTTGCTTTGAATATAAGCACATGAGCGTAGCCTACTAATCTTTGGGGGCTGAAATGACTGAAGTCTAATCCCCCTCTAGCTTTTAACTTACGCCCATGTATAAATATTTTTAAAGCAAAGGTTACTTGTGCTCAAAAATAGTTATTCGTTACGTAAAATAGTGACAGTTTTGGGCACTGTTTGTGAATCGTCACTGTGAAGGAAGTAAGAAAAACAATTTTAAAAATTCCAAAACAATTCACAAAAACCTGATGAGTGTCCTAAACAGTAAGGACATAAGGTGTTTTTGGATCAAAAATGCATTGTTGAAGAAAATATTTTTGTTTAATTCTTAAACGCTGTTCACAAATGAAGATTTTTAAACTTTGCTGTGACTTTAAAATTTTGAATGCGCCCACCTCCTCTTGTGGTTGACTTAGATTGAATTTTCCAAAACGACCGTATAAAAGAGACATGTAACTATTTAATTCCGAAAAGATTACCAAAATTGGTTGACCACTATTGAAGATATATCCCAAAAGCCGAAGAAATTTTGTGATTTTCTTAAATTAAAGATACCGCAAATACCAGAGCTGATGGACTATAGGCGTAGTGGCAACTTATGCTTAGAAAAGCCTCATTTATCGAAATAAAATGGTGGCAGGCCTGGACATCGACCCATGTCACATTTTGTCGGCCTGTGTTATAAATCAGGGAACGAAAATAACTGTTATTGTAAATTTTTCATACAAAAAAATCACGCACTTAGAAGGGTCCTAAAAATTTTTTAAATACACCACAATTTTTATTAGCCATTGTAGTTTACAAATCCGTAATGATTTTTATTTTTTGATTTTTATAATAAAACTCAAAAAATAACTGTTATTTTTTGATTTTTATGAATAACAGTTATTCCCTTGACATTTTTGAAAAAATGAAATAATTAAAAAAAACATAATACCCGTGCTTTTTATAACTTACTAAAAATTTGTTAAAAAAGGCAACCGCGCATATTTTATACCCATATTTTTTTAAAATTTTGTTTACCCACAAAATCGCCATAAATCAAGTTTGAGTTTTATTTTGATCACGACGAATAACTGTTATTTGTCAACTTTTATTATAAAACTCAAAAAATAACAGTTATTCTTTGAGTTTTACTTTACAAATCAGAAAATAACTGTTAAAGTGTGATTTTTAAAATAAAACTTATAACAGTTACGTTCCCTGTTATAAATGTCTTTAAATTCGGTTCGAACTTAAATTGGGAAAAAACATTTTGAAATAAGCTCTTACTTTTGAAGGGTTATTTATACATTTATGATTGTTTTCAAAGCCTTATTTCTGCACAAAAATTACTTCCAAGAACTTGACAGATATATATATTTTCCCCTTTTAGTCTGATTTATCTCTGAACTGAGGATTTAAAGCTGCACTCAGAAAAAAAACCAAGCACATTGTGCTTGTTTCAAGCCCAAATGGTCTTGAAAGGGCGACAGGTACGAAATGGGCTTGTTTTTTCATTTCAAGAACGTTTTATTCTTAAACCGACATTCTTAATTTGAGAACATTTTCGGGCGTACTTAAGTATGAAATGTTCTTGAACCCAGAATTAATTATTCTTAAATTAAGTATAAATTCTACTCAAATAATGTAAAAAATAAAAAAACAATTTTAAAAATTTAATGAAAATTGCTTTAGAGTGAAGGGTTAATATTATTATTTGTACAAATTTAATCCGATTTACTTGTATATGAGTATATGAGTATATAAGCTATGCTCAAATGAAGTATGAAATATTCTTAAACTAATAGTATAAATCATTGTGTTGTTTTATTAGTTAACAATACTTATTTTGTATAATCTTAAACTTAATTACTCATAAATGTATAAAGATTTGTAGATAAAAATGTGTTTTATACTTACGAAACATTTTTCTTAAAATCACATACCTCTCCCAGGATTCGATCCCGCAACCTCACTCACCACAGTCGGACGTTCTAACAGCTCGGCCACGCTCGCTCTTACGCGGCGATGACCAAAAAACCTACATAAGTACTTTTATTTGCATACTTAATTTAAGTACAACGTGTACTTGTTTTGAGAATTTAATTCTTAGTTTTAAATAATATAAAACAAAAACACCTCTTAACAAGTTAAAAATGGAGTGACACAAAATCCGTAATTTGCTATTTTCTCCCCGATTTAAACATAAAATCGGCTTGTTTTGAGAATTTATTTCTTAGCTATGAATTTAAATGTTTTTCAAATCGAATCGTATTTTGGCATATATGATGCACGTTTTTCACAGTATTTAATAACAATTATTAATTTCAAAATTTTCTCCGATTTAACAAAATTTGCTTGTTTCGAGGATCTAACTCTTAATTTTTAATAACATTGAACTACTTGTGTTTTATAAACATATGTACCTACATTATACAGTTTTTGTGAACTAATCTTTTTTAGTCTAGCGCCAATTCTATTTTACTTTAATCAATATTGGTACTCGTTAACTAAATTAATTAGTACATTTTAACATTGGCTTAAGCACAAATTGTACTTGTCAAAATGCTTTTTATTTTTTAATTTTAATACTACTGATGAGAATAATTCATTCTTATTTACAGAATACTAAAACCTAATTTTCTGGAATTAAGTACTTTTAGTAATCAAATTAAGAATGTTTGTGCTTACCATGAAAAATTATTTTTTTAGAATAAATTATACTTGGGGCTTGTTTAGTCCTGTTTATTGAATTATGTTCTGGAATCAAGAACATTTGCGGATAATTTGGGTTTTAATAATGATTTATTCTTAATTGAAGAACGCCCAACATTCTCATTCTTAAAACAAGCCCAAAAAATACTATCCGAAATCAAGTATAAATCGCGCTCAAATTTAGGATGCGTTTTTTTCTGAGTGTGCAGAACAAATAATAGTCATTTAATTTCCTAATATCATGTTGTGAGTAGCACAATGTAAGTTCTTAGAAAACACATAAATGGGATTGGGATGACCATTAACAAAGAATAAAGATTAAAAAAAGAAATAATATCCTTCATTTAATAAAATTTATTGTGGCCAGTAATCCCCATCCAATAACATACTGTTTAAAATTTGGTTTTTACTCATCCCCGATTTAAAAGTTCACAATGTTCAATTTGGCAGGTTAAACTCTTTTGCAAATGTTCGTTAACTGAAACCGCTAACTGATGAAAAACGAATTGGAAAGCGGAAATCTTAAGAGTCTCTGGGCTCGGGAGCTTCGCATTTGGGGAAGACGCTGCTCTCGTAGGTGGGCACCATATACTTGATATTGATGAAAGCGTTGGGACCTCCGCAATATTCCAGCAGCTTCAGGGTGTCCTCGATGACGTCGCCAATGCGACAGTTGCGATCGGGGTCAATCCCCTCTCCCAGGTTTACATTGATGTTCTTGTACAGGTTGCACACGGCCAGCAATTGGCGGTAAAAGGGAACCAGGGCCTGACCCACACAGGGACCTAAGGATTAAAATCAGAAATATGTTAGTTACATTTCAATACAAATTCGAAAAATAATTAGTCATGTAACAGGCAATAAAACGTCATATGTAGTTTTTAGAAGATTGTAAGTACGCAGGCTGTAAGAAAGTTTTTAGGAATCCTACGTCGTCGTAATGCTGTGAAATAGCCCTATCATATCAGCGGAAATATATATAATGAGTTTGCTTCAAAAACCGAAGCTCATTATTTCCTAATCCAGCGAGGTAATAACATCGTATATTGCTCCTCGATTTCTTAATCATGAATAATATAACACAAACAATTCCAATACTGTTATTATTGGTGTTAATTTCTTTAATGGTAATTTATTAAAAATTAAAAAAAATATAAATACTTATTTTTACTTTTGTTTTTCAGTTTGCTTATCAGTTTCGAAACTTTAGCATTTTAAAAGACCTTGTGAGTAGGAAAAGAGATTGTGAGAACCTGGAACCAGTAAAGATGAGATTAAGTAATAATTACTCTGAAGGAAAAAATCTGGGCCACGTACCGCGCATTTTGGAAGTTCTGTCGGAAACACAACATATAGCGGAAATTTTTGAATCTACTCTAAAACCGAAGTTCGACTTTAATAAGGTAGAAAACAAAACTATTATATTAGCTCCCAAGGAAGATCTAGAACTTGATGATTCAAAAGCAAGAGCAGGATTACTAACCAATTTTAAGAGAATTGGTAAAAAGTTCTATTATATCGAGAACAAAGAAAAAATGAACTGGTATGAAGCGATTGATAAATGTGATAGCATGAGAAGCAAACTAGTAAGTCTCCAAGATGAGCAGGAGTGGATTGATATCACAGTACACCTGGATCGTAAGAACAACTATTGGGTGGACATCAGTAATGTTCTATATAAGGGCGAATTTACATCAGAGTACACAGGACAAAAAGCTAAATATATTAATTTAAGTATTGTCAACACAAATCCTATTTTAAACATTGAACAGTGCATTGAGTTGGGAGCAAGCTATAATCATTATATGAACCCGGTAGACTGCTACAATAAAAACTTTTATATTTGCGAAGCCAATGTAAATAAAAAGTAAATTCTCATTTCTTCTATCTCTTAGAATGACGCTTTGGGTTTTTTTTTAATTGTGGTTATTTCCTGAACATAATATGTATAATCTGATAGCTCACCCAGTCGGACCATCAGCTGAATGACCTGTAGAGCGGAGATGATGATCCGCTTGTCGCGCGTCTGGAATGCCCGTTTCAGCGGAAGTATCAGCTTGGGCAGCACAGGAAGCACCTTCTTCGGAGACCTCATGATGAGATCAATGGCCCCATTGACGGCAAGGAGCCGAGTGTCATAGTCCATGTCGGCTAGTCCATCCACGAAGATGGGCAGATAGTAGCAGTAGTCGAGATTCTCCGGCACACAGTGCCACTTCACCGGACGTTCCTTGGTCGGATCCTGTTTGCTGCTCCGGCCGGACATTACGCAGGGAATGTCCCCGCGGTTGAAGTAGATCTTAAAGACCGTCTCCTTCACCGGCTTTCGCTTAAAGATATCGATCCTGGGAACAATACAATATTTATCGTTTGAATTCTGTGAACTATGTTACTCACTTTGGAGGAGGCTTTACCACCGTATTGGGCTGCAGAGCCTGATAGGTAAAGGCAGGAACTTCACGAACTGGCTGATATACGGATAATTCGGTTATTTTTAATTATTATAAAACTCCATAGCATAGCTTAAAACAATTTATTTAACTTACCACCTTCGACCTGAGGTAAAGCAACTCCCGGCACACCTTTCCTGGTTCATGGACTCGTGTAGCCCGTTCATTGGTCTTGGAGCACATTGTTAGTATAGTTAAATCCACTTATAACTTAAAAAACAGTAAAAAACCAAATGTGTGTGGGGCCTAAGTTTCGAGGTCAATAGTAAACAAGTCTCGTAGACAAGATTTTTTTGTTTGTTGAAGAAAATATTCACGGATGTTTTTTGCATGGGCTACTGTGTAAAAATGCCAATCAGAGCAGTTAAAAATTTAATAAAGTCGAAAATGGGTTGACAGTATGGACTCAGTTTGCTCGTACACATATAGGGCATCCAAAAAAAAAGTAAATAAAAATATTCATATAAATATAAACACTTTATACACATGCTCTTATCAAGACGTCAACACTCGCCCCCATCCGTGAAACCAAATAATTTTGGGGTGTCTTCACCAGGCGCCCTTTCACACCTAAAATTGTTTGGCGTCTCTAAATAGTCATAAAGGGAAAGTGCAAACATTTGCGCACTTTATCATCTTTTCCCATTTCCTGCCCCGCTCCCCGCCCCGTTTTTTGAGCGGTAAATGTAACGGTAAATATTTTGTAACGCCCGCCAATTAAGGCGTCTACTGGAGACCCCCGACTTCCCATTCCATTTTACGAAAGCCCCCCGCCTCCCTCATAGCATTAACCTACTTAAAACGGTGGGGAAACGAGACAGATTCCCGCGTCGACCTATCTGCGTTGCGCTTCTTGTTTCTGGTGCCCTGAATTAATTAAAATCCGACATGCGAATTACTTGACTGTCCTTATCTGACTCTCTTTTCCAGCTTCGTCTTTGGCTTTTGCAGCTCCTGTTTTTAATTACCCACGCACAGCTTTTCACTTTCGCCCAACACATCGTTGCACGTCGCGATTTATCCGTTTTAATAATGTCGAGAGGACCGGGTTGGGATCGGGGATCCCTTGAATCCTTAACTTTGCCCAGCTTTGCCCCGGCTTAGCTTCTGTCGCTTTCTGGCATGTAAATTGAGTTAGAGGCATTTAGGATTATGGAGCATAAGGACGGTCCTTCGACTTGCTCGCTAATTGCTAAGCATTTCTCCATGGAAATATGGTGGGGCCACCGGGAGAAATTAGCAAATATGTGAAAATAGTGGGGATTATCAAATGAAGGCCTTCTTAGTTTCTCGGTATAATTTGAGGTCGTTGAAAAAGATTAAATTGTGGGTGCAACATATTTATAGACATATTATTAACATATTCACAACAATATTATCGTTCTTAACGACCTGGTATGTATAAAATGGTATTTATGATATAGCTTAATTTCACAATATCGATTCGAAAATTCCAATATTTTCACAATAATGATTCGATAATTTCGATGTTTCTGGCATATATATTAAGTTAGAGGCATTTAGGATTATGGAGCATAAGGACGGGCCCTGGACTTACTCGCTAATTGCTAAGCATTTCTCTATGGAAACTTGGTGGGACCACCGGGAGAAATTAGCAAATATGTAAAAATAGTGGGGATAATCAAATTAAATACGTCTCATTTTCTCGGTCGCTAAAGAAGATTAAATTGTAGGTAAAACATATTTATAGAAATATTCTTCGCATACTCACAACAAAATTACCGTTCTTAACATACAAATATTTATAAAATAGAGCATGAAAATTATCGATATTTTCGATATTTTCACAATATTAACTCGATAATATCGATATTTTGAAATGAAAAAACAAATTTAATATCGATAAATAGCAAAGTGTCAAAGTAATGACTGTACAAATGATAATTTCGGTCAGATTTATATTTTTAAATAAAGTTAAATAGCTAATGAATTAACTCAACAGGGCTTTTTTGATCAGCCCCAAAGTAGGCAATATATCACAAGCGAAATAATTATTAAAATTTCCCATTAGGCGACCGCTCGATGGGAAATCGAAACAAAAGACGCCGTTGGCAGACGACAGCTCGCAAATTCGCAGTGGAAGCGAGCGCTTTTACAATAGCCACAACGCAAATCAGCCGGATCATAATTTATTGGACCCAAAATGGGAAGTATTTCCCACAGAGCCAGGGGCCCAAAACGGACAAAAGGCCGGGGCTTTCAAATGGGGTTTAGGTGAGGTGAGCCATCGGTGAGGTAAAACCCAGGACGGCGGTCTGGGGTGCGTTTGTCTAGCTGACACTTTCATTAACAAAAAGTCAGAGCGATGACAACGGGCATCAGTATGGGGGTCCGGGTCCTGTCTGGTTGTTTTTGCATTGTTACAAAGTGCAATTCTGGATGAGGGGATCGGTGGAGAGTAGTACTCCTATGGCTTTTTGTGGGTGGTGGCCATTCAGCTGACATGGCTGCAGTGCGGCACGTAAATCTAAACAGCCACTGACAGCTTTCAACTGGCACTCACTCCCACTTTTTATGTGCTGCTCGAAATGGACAGTCGTCGGTGGGAGTGGGTGGGCCGAGCCCATCTTGAATGTCATATAAGCCATATACATATATATCAATATCCTGGCCATATATCAATATGCACACGCGCTCACATACGTTTATCTACTTTCGTTGGCTTGTTTGTCTGAAATTGACATCGCTTGTACGCTCTGTATGCTGTATTCAGTATTTTGTAGGCCCTCCTCCAACCATACGTCCTCCCATCGAGGACATGGACAACAGGGCTTTGGTTTTGGCCTTTTGTTTTGGCCCGTGCTGGTCTGGTCTACTCCTACGGTCCGGCCGAGATTTTATGTTCGCATACATTTTGAGCGCTTTATTGTTTGTCCAATTTCGTGCAACATCGCCTGGCCTGAACGACAGAGAGAGTAATCGAGTATCCGTTGTCTGTCTCGTGTCAGGAATAAAGAGCTCCATCCCGTTGGCCGTTAGGTGTTAATCTAATAACTGTCAAATGCAGGATGTTGCTACTTCAGATTGGTAGGAAAATTGCTGCTAACTCACTTCGAGTGGCGAATAAATTGTAGTGAAAGGAGATCAGAGATATAGGGAAGGGAAGCACTAAAGGGATTAGGTCAAACAAAAACCGAGAATTTTACTAATAAAAATCGGAAACCAATATATATATTTTTGTATACAAAGTAGAGCGTGAAAAATATTTTTTAATATTTAATTTGTGTTTCGCTTCAAAACATCGACATTATCGAATCAATATTGTCAAAATATCTAAAATATCGATAGTTTTCCAGCTCTATTAGAAACCTGATAGAAATAAGAGAATTGTCTGTTATTTAAATGCCCTGCTCTCAAAATACTTTCCTTACATTCATTCTGCTTCGCACCCATTCAGAGTTCAAACTTCAATACCAGCTTATAATGGCTTTCTCTATGTTTATTTGGTTCAATTGCGCTTCTGGCAGCCTAAGAATAATTTCTGCATCGCCAAAATCCCATAAAAATCAACAACATTGAGACGGGGCCCATATGAACATCTAACTGCTAACTGCAGGCCCGGTCACAAGAGCAGTCGAGCATTAAATGGCCACGACCAAAGGGCCAGAGGGCTGGGCTTCTTGGATGGAAATAGGTATGGGGACCTAGAATGGCTTACTAGTTCCAGCACATCCCAGGCAGACAGATAAAAGTCCCGCTCTGTACTCTAACATTTTTATGAGTCGTAAATCGAAGCGATAAAATCACAAGAAATGTGGATACAAAAACAAACAAGCCTGCGAACCGAGCGAGAGGTCAGTTGAAAGTCTAGACCGGACTGGGTTAGACTTTTGGGGCCCATCGTAGCTCTCATAAGTCACACGATAAATTCTGCAACATTGCGCTAATGACAACAATGCACTTGGAAAAAACAAGTTCCATAAAGAAGCAATTGTTTTGAAGAAATAACTATTTAAGGAGAGCATCTCATCGGCTCTAAATCTTTGGCATCTTGTGTAAAACCTCTAGGGATAAATGTTTATAGCTAAATGATTTAAAGAAGTTAGATAAAGAGTCCTGATGCAATTCTGAGTACATAAAATATATAAAAGGTAACATTTAAAAGTTGTCTCATTGTTGGTGAAAACCTATTCGTTATAATCTTTCTGTAAGTTCTTCTAAAAATGTTTAACCTCAATTGGAAGATAAAAAAACAATTTAAATATATATTTAAATTACAATTATACAATTTAAATATAAAAGTGAACAAATGAAAAAAGTATAAAAAGCTTACTACAGTTATGGAAAATAGCAAACTGTTAATAAAATCAGGTTCATAAAATAAATCCCTTTAAAAATTTAAGGTATTTTTTATCCGGTTCGCAATAAAAGACACCCCCAAAAATTCTCTAAAATATTTTCCGAGTGCATTTGCCCAGATCGACAGAAGTCGCCCTGCATTCTGGAAACGGCGGAAGTTCATTATTGTCAGTGATTAATGACAAGAAGCGCGGATGTGTCCTGGGACGGGGATATGGCTGATGGCCGATGGCTCTGCATTCTGGTTCTCCGGTTCTGGGCCACATAAGTTAGCTGTTGCTGTCAGCTGGCCCGAACCCGAACCCGAAACCGCCTGGCTGGAAACGAAAAAATCGGAAGCCAGGACTGGCATAGCCTGAGGCCTGGCAAAAAAAGAATACGAGGACCACAGGACTGGGAAGGACGAGGACGAGCTGTTGACATCACTCCGTCCGTCAGTTAGCTGGAAAATGCATTGCTGCCAGCTGCCAACATGATTAGCGCGTTGATTTGGCAACCGATTGCCGAGTGGAGTGCATCCGAGCCAACATTTCAGCCATCCTCAACAGAGTTTGACTTGCCAACTTCGCTTCTCCGTTTATCCATACCCACCGAAAGGTCCTTAAACTTATGCAGTGCTAAGCGGCATTGACAACGGCACGCACACATCGTTTGACAGAGGCGTAGTTGCTGGAGGGGGGCAATGAAAGGATAGGGGCTCGGGCGACCCTTCTGATGGTTCAATGTACGACAAGTGAAATTAATTTCAAACAATGCAGCAAACTCCGAAAACAACAAAGCCGGAGAAGATAAAACCCCACGACAGCAGAAGCAAATTAAATAAAAATTCCAACATGAACGTTACCGGGAAGTGAGTTGAACTGCACTGACAAAATTTTTAAATAAAATCTATAGAACGAAATATTGAAAAAATTACAATTTACTATTTATCTTTAATATTTCCGAGTATTTATTTCAAAATTAGGTAATTAAAATCCTCGAAAAATTCCCTTTCAAGTTTTAATAATAATTATTGTTTAACTATTTCAAAAATCAAACTTGTCTGTTAGTACTTTTTAAATTTATTACCAATAAATAATCAATAAAAGATTTTTAAAATTTTTGGTTTTTCGCAGTGTACATTTAGCATCCTGATAAGGAGCCTCGGGAGAGCAGCGGATTGCCAGCCATATGAAAGACTCAATCTACGTGCCTCGAGTCGATGAGTAAGCCAAGTTAGGGGCAAGCAAAAAAGCCAAGTCGAAGCAAACCAAACTTGTCGAAAATTATTTCGTTTTAATTACGCCAAAGGGCGTTGTCAAAGGACGTGTCGAAATGTGTCGCCGTTTTGGATGCACTCAAAATGAAATCACGTCACCGATTTGCCCCGCCCCCAAATAAAGAACCGCCCACACTCAGACCAACACTGCCGACACTTCAGGTTGCCTACAACTTTTCCGTTGTCATTATCAATTTGAGTTAATTGCCGCAGCCATCCTGGGCAGAATGTTGCCATTTTGCTGTTGGAGGGCAGCAGCCATTGCCGTTGTGCTCTCGTCACTTCCGGTCTGGAACCCCTGCCCCTGCCTTCGACCCCCTTTCCCCACCTTCACACCTCCAGACGACGCGACGACGCATTGTCTGTGACTGTTTAAAAGCGTTTAGTCGAAATTTATTTGTATTACATGCCAAAAACTGCAGACACTCTCATAAAAGCGGGGACCGAGTCATGGCGAAATGTTGAATTATTAAATTAAGTACCTTTAGGTATAGTTGTAAAGCTGAGTGGCTAAGTCAACCAGGCAGCAGGTGCCAATCTGATCAGTAAGTACAAGGTTGTATAGGAACCTTGTGATAACTGGGGAATTTAAAAACAAAGTTGCGGCCGGGTTGAAAGGAAGGTTTTAAAAATATTCTATATTTTAATTTTTTCATATTTTGTCTAGGTTTTTTTTGTAAAACAGAAAGAGCTCAGCTTTGGGCTATTGAAAAAAGTCAAAGCTAAAGTTAAACTCTAATAAAAACTACGTTGCCTATCCTTAGGCGTTTAAAGTTAATTTTCTTAAGCTTTAAGTACTTTTTTCGTTTTGATAAAAATGTAAATATTTATAAAACCACAAGCTAATTTCTTGCTTCGACAAGTAAAAATATATACAATGTACATCTCACCCTTTTAAAAACAAGATATTTGTGCAAAATAACTTAAACTAAAATCCAAAAAATTTTAAATTAAGTCTAAGGGCTTGCGCAATTGTCTCAAAGTTCCCAAAAAGATTACTCATACGGCACGTAAGCCAGTATGAGTTTTGGGTAGTCAAATCTTTTCCCATATCTAGACTTGTCAAATATTTAATTTCGTTCAAAATCGTTAACAAAATGGAGAGCACCTTTTTTTTGGTTGGAAAGCTGAATCTGAATTTTGATGAAGAGGAAACTTTGCCGTCAAAGAGGACCGTACTGTCCTCTTTGCTCTACAGGACAGTTCTTCTGAAGCAAACCTTCTCCTTCACTGCGTTGCAAACATTTGACTGAAATTATAATACCCTATACCCTATTATGCAAGGATAAAAAAAAAAAAAAAAATTTATGAATTTTCGGTACAATTATATTGCTTTGTTTGTTTTTAATTATTGTTACCGCCGTAATTTAAATTGTAAAGTCTGCCTCCAAATCGAATTGCCACTTATGCGAATATGGCACTACCAACATATAGTATGGCAGCTCTACTTGAGAAAAAACCAGCGAAGCAGCAACACAAAGTTTTTTAAAGCTCTCTATTATAATTTAAAATTTTATTTAAATAAAGACCGTTACATAAATTTGTCAACCTTAAACTGTTTCGCCTATTATTAACATCGGTGCCTTAACAATTATTTTGGCCACGATACACTCTTAAGAGGGTCACCCCATGTTACTTCTTTTAAAAATATGTTAATAGCTTTTTATCCACATATTCTGCATATGGTTTGGGGGCGATAAATTAAAAAAAAAAATTGTTTGATTCTGTGGTGCGACTTTATTTTTCTTTACCCGTTTGTAAAGGTGACAAGGTTACCTTTATGTTTAGACTCAATAAGTAATGACAAGTCTACGCCACCTATATGAAATTAAAATTTTTGATCAAGGGCAACAGTACGTATGAGTGATAAACTTAAAGGTCAATGCGCAAGCACTAAATCGCATTTTTTTAAACTTTTTTATTTTGGTATGTCTTAAATGCACCAATGCGCAAAGTATAAGGGGGTGAGAGTAGGACCTTAGAATTTTTCATACAAAAAAAAACCACCCTAATGTACATATATAGATAAGAACGAAGTTTAAGAATAAATAACACATCAGCACATAAGTGATGGAATAATATAAAGAGGACATTAAATATGGATTACTACTCAGTTTAGTTCACACACAAATGCTATTTTCCTTTCACATTTTTCCACACCCATTACCAACTCCGCTCCCGTGAACTCTAGATAGACACAAAATCCATTCTGGAATTTCTGATTTGGTGGTTTTGTGGCAACGAAATTGGTAAAGTTCATGGGATGGGCATCTTGATGCCAGTAAAAATCGTTCAGCGTTTTATGATCAACGTCTTTCGGATCGGAAAGCCTTCCCCTATGGCCGCCACTCCAGAATATAGAATGAGTTTGGACATGGGCCCGATATCGCATATAGTCGGAAATCTGTCTCATTTCCTGTAAACTACGAACAGTCACCAGCCTAGCTCGGGAATCAATTGTCTCACATCCAAAGCTCGCATGCATCCAATCCATCTAGAATAAAAATCACAAGAAACTGATTAATTTACATAAAAAAATAAAAGAAAATAAATTGAGAAGTCATTAAGGCACATTAAGTAATGATTATGTGTATTTTACTTATTTTTGGGTAAGAATTTCTCAACTGCGCATATGAAATTTTAGATTTTCTTCAAACTCGGGAACTTTGAAGAGTTTGCCTTGGTTATCATCTGTGATTTTTTTGAAATTTTTTGGTGTCCATTTGTGGGCGCTTGAAATTTTTGAAGTTAAGAACTTAAAAAATGTTCTCAAACTTCAAATTAGTATAGGCTAGTAGGCTTTGAAAAATTAAAATTACAATCTGAAACAAAAAATTGTTTCAAAGCCTACCTTCTTAACATTAAGAAAATCCATCGACTTGTATGGCAGCTATATGAAGGGACGGTGGTAAAATTATGATATTAATATATGTGCATAATATCAGTGAGTAATTGAGTTGTGCAAACTTTCAGCTTAAACATGTAAGAATTGTACTCATTGGAAATATAAATAGGGTTTTTCTAAATTTGCATAAAAAAATATATATCTTGGAAATGATGAAAAGGTACCAAAATGTTTCTTCGGGTAAATTAAGTTGGTTATGAGATGGACAATCTTGGATAATTAAGTTTCTTTTATAGGATGAAGAAGACAGTAAAAACCGCGATAAAAATTTCAAATAATTAAAATTCATACTTATTGGACAACAAAAAACTTAAGAAAATTATTTTCTAACTCCGCCAGTACACATTTAAAAACGTGTTAAGTTGCACGTTGTTCTTCTAACCCGTTCTCAAAATATACTAATTTCAAGTTTGAGAACATTTTTTAAGTTCTTAACTTCAAAAATGCCTAGCGCCCACAAATGGATACCAAAAAATTTTAAAAAAATCACAGATGATAACCAAGGCAAACTCTTCAAAGTACCCGAGTTTGAAGAAAATCTAAAATTTCATATGCGCAGTTGAGAAATTCTTACCCTTATGAGTTAGACTTCCTAAAAGCTAATTTTACTTACTATAACGGGAACGCTGAATGCTCGATTCTTATACACCATTCTGTAGTACTCATAGGAGGGCTAAAAAGGGGGTACGTAAAAAAAAAGACTCATTTCAATTATTACATACCGCCTTGTTGGAAGAGAAAAAAAAGCAGCGTTCGCCAATTCTCACAAAAGGTTTTGAACAAAGAGCTAGGGTAATAAATAAACAGAAATTGAATTTGAAATAATACGAAGTACACAGAGAAAATTATCAAAAGTTTTAGGTGCAAAACAAGGGGTGAAACATTTTAAAAAGTAAAATGCTTCATACTAATTTTATTTTACTTTGCATTTTTAAAATTTTTCATTTTTATTTTTAAAACATTTTTATATGAAAACGGCACATAAAACATTGTATAATTTTCTCTGTTTATAGTTTCCAAACTCACGTTGCCAGCAGTTCTTGAAAATAAAAACGTATCCGGCCGTCAGGAGTAAAAAACCTGTAAGACCGACGAAAGATTTTCCTAGCGCTGACATTTTTTACAGCGGCTCTCAATTAACTGAAGCTATACTTTTGCTGTTTTCAAGTTTTATAGACTCTACTTATAACAAAACTTTCTAAGAAGAAATTTGAGACTGTACATTTGGCGACAAACAAAGGGATTCAGTTGCTACACAAATAAAAATTTCGTGAAAAGTATAAGCCATTTTAATTAACCACTTTTTCATTACAAAGTAATGAAATGCAAATAGTATGAAATTCAAATAATTAAGTTAAGGTTAGCTATAAAACAATTCAACAGAGTAATTAAAAATAAGTGGAAATGAAAATATTAACAATGTACAATGTGTAATACTTATACTATAAGTTTGATCTTGTCGTCTGCACTTTGGCTAAGGTTTCTTCTCGCATTCGCTTTCGATCTGATCAGAAGTAAGAAGTAACAAAGCCACAGGAAAAACCCGAAGACGAATATAATAATCCTATGTGTAGGTTCTAGGGAAAGCCATAATTGCCAAAGGGAGAACTTAAACTCGCAGATATAGTAGTCATCTTCCCCATAAGATGGTCGCATAAACAGCGTGGAGTTCACCAGTTGCAGGCTGAGATAGGTTCCTTCGACCTCTGGCTGAGTGCCGGGTAACCAGTGGGCAAAGGTCACTGGCTCATTTACCCCCTCCCAGATGTAGGCTATCTTGCTGTTGAAACTGTTGCCCGAGGTGGCGAAAGTGCTTCCGTCGGAAAAGCCCCTCGATAAGATATACTGCTCCAAATCCTTCAGTTCCTCTGCTGTCTCCACGGATAAAAGTGCTGATATTCCCCGCCAACAATCCTGCCTAGCGACGAACCAATCAAAATAGTGCCCCGCCTGTGGGAAAAAAGAAAAGAATTAAAATATAATATTAAAATTTAAGATATTAAAATCGTGTTTTGCTTTCGACTTATTTTCTATTTTAAAATGCAAACAAAGAACCAAGAATATAGAACTTTTATGAAAAAAACAATTCTGCTTCTTATAAAAAAAATGTATCGCTGAATGAGTCAAACAGTATCAGCTTCCGGTACTTTTTTCTAGTTTCTAGTTTTAAGTAATCTGTAAATTATTTAAATTACGAGGTAGATGTGATTTTTATGTTTTGAAAACACTTACGATTTAACAACCCGATGTTATTTAGGTAGAAATTATTTTATATATATTTTAAATGCACTTATAAAGCAAACTGATTACCACCAAGTTCGTTTCTGAGAACAAAGAGCTTTGCATGTGCAATGTTACACTTACGTAAACACCGATTACTTTCCGTTTATTTTTTTCGGCAAAGATCTGTTTTGATTGTAACTCACAGTTTTTTCATTGCCTATATAGTAGAAACCGTCTCCAATTCGATCGAAAACTGGTTCACTTCTGCAAGCGGCTATCAGAAAAATGCATATATATAATTCAGTCCGCATTTTGCGATGTTATTCCGATGCATTTGGAAAAGGCACTGCGTTGTCGCGCAATAAATACGTTCACACAATAACTGATTGATGACTCTTTATTATCAAGAGCTTATTCAGTCTTTTCTTTCGAGTATTTAGCAATACTTCCCCTTGTAGACGGAAAGTTGTAGAACGGAAGTTCATGAAATTACCAATGAACTACAATTCAAGTATGTTTTATCAAATAAAAACACCTCTTAACGAGGTAAAAAACTAGTGACGACCGCACCTTCAACATACAAAAGTTCTGATATCAACATTTGTGACGAAAAATTATTACACTCGTCATTAAATAGACTTTCTAATCTTTTCTCATTCGGCCCGCCCTAACAAACTATTCCAGCCTTTTTCCCCTTACAGGCATTTTCTATTGCAGCGTGACGAATGAGAAAAGATTAGAAAGTCTATTTAATGACGAGTGTAATAATTTTTCGTCACAAATGTTGATATCAGAACTTTTGTATGTTGAAGGTGCGGTCGTCACTAGTTTTTTACCTCGTTAAGAGGTGTTTTTATTTGATATCAGAAGTTTTTGTTTGTTTACATTTGCTCTCATAGGAGCTAATATATACATTTAAATTTAAATTGGTCAATCATAATTTTTAAACTATTGAATTTTAACAAATTAAGTTAAAAAGGCGTTGAAGTATTTCAAAATACCTTTTAAACGAGGTATAGCACATGTCTGTACCTTTAGTAGTGTAGAACTTACAAACTAACGAAATTTAGCTATTTTTAGCTTTTTCCCGCTAAAGTAGCGGCTTTTTCCAAAAGTCGTAGAACAAAAGATTCCTATATGGAACTCTTAAGTGCAAATTTACTGATTCCATGACCCTAAAATACAGTTCGGATACCCTCCCACAAAATTCAATACTCAGGGAGCGTTAGTTGTTCTGAGCTGGCAAAAGTGGCTATTTTCGTTTCTGAATAACTTTTAAACGCGATTTTTTACATAAACATGATATATACCAAAATTTAAGGAATCTCAAGGGCTATACAGTTTAAAGTTGTAAGGAAACTCGTTAGGGCCGTTTTTGAGAAAATTAAAAAAAAGCTAAAAAAAAGTTTAAACAAATTTTCTTTTGTTCATATCTTTTTAACTATTACATTTACACAAATTGCATATAAAAGGTGTTTATAGCATTTAAAAATACCTTTCAAACGAGATGCAGCACAAGTCTGTAGCTTTAGTAGTATAGAAGTTACGGCTTTCCGAATTTTAGCTATTTATAGCTGTTTTCCCGCTAAACTAGCGGGTTTTTCCAAAAGTGGTAGAACAAAAGTTTTTTATATCGATGTGATGAACGTCATATCAAATTTTCAGAACTTAAAAAACATATTTTGGACAAGTGGACAAGTGGACAAGCGGACAAGTGGACAAGTGGACAAACTGACAAACAGAATTAAATTTTCATTTTGGGAAGAAGAAGAAAATCTTATTTTGGCTATAACTTTTGAACGGAGAGTCGGATTTTGACAAATGACCCCTCATTCGACGGGTATTTTCAAAAGGAATACAACTAAAACATTGCGAGGGGGCATTTATCCCCACCGGCCCCAACAGCTCCAAATTTCGAAATTTTCACTTTTTCACTTTCACCGCTCTCTCTCCCAAGCCAATTGATTTTCTTAAAGTCTTGGTATGCAATCCTGTTAGTTTTCGCAATACCTTTCGATAGGTGTATTATTCATTATGATCGGACCATCACAGTAGATTTTCATTTCTTCGTGTATATATAGTAGTCGCCTTCGCACACTCTTCTGGTGCGCTTCGTCACTACATGGACTGCCGTCCATAGTGATTTTATAACTATTATTTTTCAAAAAGCATAGGGTCGCTCTATGGCTATACGTTTTTTTAGAAGGTTATTTTTCAAATCTTTTTTTTTTTTGATTTCTAATTAGGAATTACACATTCACACATATGAATATTAATAAAAGTTATTAGTTACAAAGCTTATATATAGCCTAGTGAGAAGATATCATTTACAAGTTACATTCACTTGAGCTTACTAAAATGATAACAATATCTTGTAAAATGTATTTGTAATCGAGCCAGGGGCGCATTCAGAGATTTGTGGTGAGCGATTTTTATAACAAATTTGTTGTAGCGTCATTTTTAAAACATAATTTTTGAAACAGAATTAAAATTCCTAATAATCTTATGTTATTTATTTTATTTAATTTCTAAGAACTGGCTGACCGGATTCCATACATTTTTTACCATAAATACAAGAGCGTCTAAGCTATCGAACAAAAAAATAAAAAGTAAAATCTGAATACTCTGTCAATTTTATTTTTTAAGGTAAATTAAAAAAATGTTGCGTTCGACACTCCGGAATTGCTCATATACCCTTTTACTCTAAGAGTAACGAGTACAAATTGGTTAAAATTGTCATTTTGTGGTCTTTGACCGGCAATTTGAATACTTTTCTCAAACAAATTCTATTTACTTGGAATTATTTTTATTATAAGAACATTTTTCAAATTATATAGCTGAAAAATGATATTCTAGATCTTTTTCAAAAGTAAACCATTCGAGATTGGATTTTTGTCATACGACGTTTAAGCGAGGTACATTTGTAGTAATAAGGATAAATGTTTGGCAATCAGTGGATAACAGGACGGGAATCTGTACCATTCAGGGTCTGTTCACATATATCGACCGCTTGAGTGTAGCAGGACTCACTGCTCATTACGAGTTCTCCGCCTCGAAGGGTGAGGATCAGGCAATTTCGACCCATTTGGGGAGTCGGCTCGTCCGCCGCCCAATTTGAGTAGTTTAAAGGTCGGGCTCTGCCAAAGTAATTCCAATAGAAGCGATTGTCCCCTGGCCAGCGATGTCCGGCACTCCAAAATTGGGTTCCATTCGGGTAGCCCATCTCATGAAGGTGCTGGGCCAGAATCCGCATCTCCTCGTCACTATCCAGGCAAACCCGAGAGGTGCGCTTGTCCTGGTAGCAGAAATTGTGAAACGATGTGTGCTGTGAACCAAAATAAGAGAAGATTTAGTCAGTCATTGTGAACCTTTCATTTAAAAAACGAAATGCCCTACCATCCCTGAGTTTATTAATCAGTGATTATCTGGTTAAGAGATATTTATAAATTGTTTATAACCTATTACCGTGTAAGGGTTAATGTCTTAAAAGGTTTAAAATTGGGATTGAAATCGAGATGTATGTAATAATTTGCATGATTTATTAGATTTTAATTATTTTACTATTACGCATTTTAAGACTACGCCTTAAAAAATGTAGGACATATTTCAGTCGGTTTGGCTGGAAAAGATTTAAATACTTGATTTATACATATTTGTTTATTTATTTGTATAAATAAATATATGTGTATATGTTTAAAAAACGTTGTGTTTTCCTGCTGATATGAGAATGGAATGAATAACGCGCACTAACAGACTACAATATATAGCCGCAATTATATTTAATTTTTTTCATTCAAATTTTTGGGTCATTTTCGAATTGAGACTCAAATATGTTTTGCCTGTTCGCCTAATTCACAAAAATCAAATATTAAAATAAATATAGCATTTGCTGTAAAACTGTTTACTTCTGACATCATCGCTGTGTCGTGTAAACTATTGACTCACCAGTGGTTCTTCGTCGGCAACAAAGTAGCAGTAATTCTCCCGGACCCTCTCATAGGGAATCCTGCAGCGCATTCCATCGGCCGAATTAACCAGAAAAAGGAGCCATAGGGTTAAGGCCAGGAAATTCTGAAGTCGAAAGCGGCGATCTTTCTTCCGCGTCGGGCGATTCGGCATTGTGCTGAAATTAAACTGCCGGCAGTTGGCATCATGCCGTTATCGCCATGCATTATCGCCATGAGCGCGATGTTATCAGTAAAGCGCTTGATTTGGCCTTTTCGCTGATAAGGCTATTTTTTGAACTAGTTCAAGATCACGCTCAATAAAAGCTCTACATATTTAATAACACTATGCAGCATCAAAAATTAACCTCGATGAATGCTATATTTTTGGATTCGTTACGAATTCCCAAGTTAAACTGCGTTTTCCAAAGAGTTCCCCGACGCAAGGATTCTTAGCAAAAGGACCTCAAAGTTCGAAAAATGCTGAAATTGACCAACTTTGCGGAGCTCTCAGAGGCAAATGGATGCATGGTTTGATTCGATGTTAAAGTTTTTTAAAAGATACACCCTTTATCTTTTAAACGCCATACTTAAAAAATTTTTAAGATTTTTTTTAAGGCAGAAACAAATTTTAGAAAACATAGTCAAAAAACATAAAAGTATACAGCTGCGGTCAAAATAGTAGCAGTGTTGCCGCCTTGTGTTTTTAAAAGTTTCATGTTGTAATTTTTTCTTATCCAATTAGTCTAATAGTAAAATTATAATCAATACAATATTACCAGGAAAAGATCAATTACAACAACAAACTTTTAAATACACAGGGCGGCAAAAATATAGCATCCATCGAGGTAAATTTAAAAAGCACTAAAAATGCTGCACAGTGTAATTGATCGAACCCTTTTGGTATTTATTAAATCGTAGATAATTTGTTTTACACAGAGAAAATAAGGCTACGTTTTAGGTCGAAACGTTTTAAAAATAAAAATAAAACTAATAAAAACCCAAAGTAAAACAAAAAATCCTAACACTCAAATTGAGTAATTTGGTTTTAAAAAAATCCAAAAAAAATTTGTATATTCTCATTGTTAGTGTAATTTAGTGAGCGTTTATATGAACAGACAGACAGACGGAAATGGCTAGATTTACTCGGCATGTGGTCCTGATCAAAAACACAGGCCGAAAAAATTTGCCATGTGTCGGTGTCCAGGCCTGCCACCCTTTTATTTCAATGAATGAGGATTTTCTAAGCATAAGTTGCCACTACGCCAATATTCCATCAGCTCTGGTATTTGCGGTATTAATTTAAGAAAATCACATTTTTTCCACGTCCTTTGGGATATATCTTCAAGAGTGGTCAACCAATTTTGTTACTCTTTTCGGAATTAATAAGTTACACGTCTCTTCTATATGAACCTTTTTATACCCGTTACTCGTAGAGTAAAAGGGTATATTGTATTCGTGCAAAAGTATGTAACAGCTAGAAGGAAGCATTTCCGACCCTATAAAGTATATATATTTTTGATCAGGGTCACTAGCCGAGTCGATATAGCCATGTCCGTCTGGTCGTCTGTCTGTCCGTATGAACGCTGAGATCTCGGAAACTATAAAAGCTAGAAGATTGACATTTTGCATGCAGATTCTAGGAGTTCCTACGCAACGCAAGTTTGTTTCAAAGCCCACAATCGCTTAAATACGATTTTAAAAATTTCAATATTTCGGAAAAGTACAAATTTTTGTAGTTTTATTGTGTTGAATTGACCCAAAGATACCTTATGTCCTTAATTTTTAAGACACTCATAAGATTTTTGTGAATTGTTTTTGAAATTTTAAAATTGTTTTTCTTACTTCCTTCACAGTGACGTTATCGGCCTCGCCAGTCGCGGCTTCGAGAAAAACGTGACTGAAATGCGATGCGTCTGGCTAAACGCCCAGAAAAATACAACTTTCAAAGACCATGTATCCTAATGTATTGGTCCGATTGAATTGAAGTTTAGGGAGTGTAATCTAGATAACCTTAGCTAATTTAAAAACGATGCATTTTTTTTGAAAACCTTATTAACTCCCCAAGTCTTGAGGTTAAAAAGAAGTACGTATTTTATGGACCTTCGTAATTTAACACTTTTTTTTCCTAGAAATATATTTCTTATCTGTACCAATCATAAAGCAAATAGTTTTTAATTAATGACCCATTACTTTGGGTAAACATTATTATCGAGATCAAACAGTAGTTTATAAAGTCGCAATTTTCACGAGGAGGAAACGTATAAATATTTGTTGAACTCTTAGATTAAGTTAGTCATCTTAAAAATGTTGAAGAAATTAGTTATACTTCTTTTGGCTTTTGCCATTATTGATCTGGGATTTTCCTTCGATAAATACTCTACTAAGGTATTAAATGGTGAGCATTAAATATTCAATTTACTATTATTATTATATTTAAAATACATTATTTAAAGGAAACCCAAACCACATAAGCATCAACTCTGGCCCCTTTATAAAAATCGAAGAAGGTTACTACTACTTTGGACAGGATAGAGTGAATTGGTATATTGCTTATGAAAACTGCCGCAAATTGGGATCCGAGCTGGTGACGTTCGGAACTAACGAAGAGTTCGATGCCGTTATTGGGTATTTAAAAAGCAAGGGAGAACGCTCGGAGCACTGGACATCTGGCAATGACTTGGGAAAGACTGGCACCCACAAGTGGTTTACCAATGCTCAGCCTCTCAACATAAATCGGTGGGCCCCTAACCAACCAGATAATGCTGGAGGAATAGAGCATTGCATTCACTTGGGTTATATATACGGATACTCAACAGATATCCAACTGAATGATCGTCCCTGCAATAATGATTCAAACAGCTTGTTTAAATATGTTTGTGAGGCTCCAAAACAGGAAACTATATCTATAGTTGTTTGGAAATAAAGGTGATTCCTTAATTTTAGTCAGTAGTCAATAAAAATTTCTCTTTAGTATAATCGGATATTTATACCCGTATATTGGGTATATTGCATTCGTGCAAAAGTATGTAACAGGGAGAAGGAAGCGTTTCCGGCCCCATAAAGTATATATTCTTGATCAGGGTCACTAGCCGAGACGATCTAGCCATGTCCGTATGTCCGCCTGTCTGTCTGAACGCTGAGATCTCTGAAACTACAACAGATAGAAGGTTGAGATTTCCCACACATGTTCTTGGGATTCCTACGCAGCGCAAGTTTATTTCAGCCGAGCGCCACGGCCCCTCTAACGCCCACAATCGCCCACTAACGATTTTGTGTCGAATGTGTCTGGCGCTCACGCCTTTAAAGATTTCCGAGAAGTATAAATGATATTTTGTTGTGTATATTTATACCTTTCGAAATGTAGAAGACATTTTTTAAATCGGACCATTCATTAAAAAGTTATGCGCAAATCAAAATTGTATATATCCATCTCCCTCGCACTCAACTTAGCTGAGTTATGGGTATTAGATAGTCGGGGCACTAAACCTGACTATAGCGTCCTCTCTGGTTTTCTTTATCTTTAACAAGAACAATTTTTTTTTATGCTTTCTTTTAAAAAAATTCAATATGACAAGCTGAGAGAGGAATAGTGGTATTCCCCTGGATTTGCTTAACTTATCAGTCAAGAAGTGTAGGCATTGTTATCAGTAATTGTTATTTGTTCAACCCAAGTAAGTTAAGATTTCTTTTTCAGTTGCGAATTTAAACTTGTGGAAAGATGTTCAGAGTACTTCTGCCATGTTTGATTTTGTGGAATGGTCTATTTTTGGAGGCCTCTCCTTTGGGTCGCCAAAGTAATTATTAGTACAGATATAATTTCGAAATTAAGAAACGACCTTATTTTTATTAGGTATTGTGGAGATCGGTGAAAAGAATTACTACATTTCTTTGGAAAAATCGAACTGGTTCGAAGCAAGCAACCACTGCCGTCGAAAAGGTGGATTCCTGCTAACTTTAGAAAGCATGGAAGAGCTGGAGCTCCTTAGCCCTTTCCTTCATCCAGCCTATAGCTACTGGCTGTCCATCAATGACCTTGGAGTTCGTGGCGAATACGTATCGGAGGCCACGGGACTTGAGGCCCCTTTTCTTAACTGGTCTGTCGGACAGCCGGACAACGGCGATGGCGACGATCGGTGTGTCGAGCTCTGGAGATCGACAAGTTCCTTCCGGATGAGCGACTCATCCTGCCGAATGTCTGTCGCATTTATTTGCCAGTTAAACTAGGATCAGTTAAGCTATAAATATACAAACCAAAAATTACACGAACCTACAAATTCTTTTAAGATAAGGGGTAAAAGATAAGGTGATTTAATTTATAGAGGTACAAGTAGTGGCTTACAATTGTACCAGTTTGTTACTGATTGCCAATCAACGATTTCTCAGTAGTTATACCCTTTAATCAGAGAGTAAAAAGGTATATTGTTTTCGAAAAATCATTAAAAAAACACAAAATTTGTAAGACTTATAGTTTCTAAACGACTAAAGCTACCGCGTTTCAAACTTAATTTAAAATGCTATTTGCGCTGCCTTTGCTAAAATTGGCTTATACATAGATATTTTTAAAGTACAAGGTAAACATTGTAGGGCGCTTGTCGTTAAAATTGTTAACTTTCAAAGTTCCCACCACAATTTACAAAGATTTATCGAAGTTTTGAAGTTGCCGCCAGAAATATAAATGACCGAGCAAAATTCAAAAAATTTCCGTCCTTACAACACTTAAAAGGAAACGGATTCGCTTCCGAGCCAGGACGAAGACTGCTCAAACCTCTGCATCTCGGTCACCGTCAAGCCAAAAGACGCACAATATTGACACTCGCGTGGACGTACAACGGATCATCAAAGGTCCAGATCCTGGCCAGGAGCCGGATTCTGGTGGTTCCTTTGACAGAGCTGGTGGCGATCATGAGTCCCTTCTTGGGACTATTTCGGATCGGCCTATCATTCAGCAGGACGTAAAGCTACAGTCATGGCTTCAGGAAGGTGGGGTTGCGGCTGTTGAGCCACATCATGATCAAGATGAGTCCCATCTCGGGACCATTTCAAACCAGCCCATCACAGCTCAAATGGCGAAAAGTGGATCTGAGGAGGAGCCAGGAGAGGATACTGGTGAGCTGGAGTCATCGCTTCAGAAGAGTAAGCCTGAGAAGGAGTCTGAGGAGGATACCATGACAAACGCAGGCTACAAGAATAAATATTACTGCGCAGCCTGCGTAAAAACGTTTGTCAAAAAAGCGTTTTTAAACAGGCATGAAAAAACTGCAAACCACATAGTCCGAGTAAAGCAGTCATGCAAAAGGTGCCACTTGTTTATGCCTGATATTAAGTTTTATAAAGAACACCGCTGCGGGGTGCAATTTCGCAAATCAGAAAATGTTTTCTTCTGCCAAAACTGCAATTATTCCACCGCGATTGAACGCAACATAAGAGAACATATACAAACATATACAGCAAATAGAAACCTGCAAGCGCACCTCACAACCAGAATCCACAGCGAAAATGTAAGGAAAAGGCAAGATTTAACCGAAGCGCAAAAGATATTGGCACACAAAATAGGAAACCTCTAATATATTCAGTATCCTGGAAAAACAAAGGATCTATGCACAGCCCTTGCGAACATGACGCCAAAAAGTAAGTTTATTTTATTTAATTATTATTTATTTTACTTTTAACTAATGGGTTTGAGCATTATTAATCAAAATTTTTTTCTTCTTTTCAGGTAAAATAAACCTATTTGATGACTAATAATTATTATTATAATTATAATTATAATCTGTTCTACATTCAAATAGACAACAAATTTCTTATGATCCCCATTTGCCTTATTCAAATTCAAAACAGTTCAACTTATGCGCCAAAAAACTCGAACAAAACAGGCCCACAGGGTGATTCGTAACATATTTAAAAAATGTGGGAATCGATAATGATTTTTGAGTAACTCTAGTTACTCAAAAAATTGCAAAACATCGATGCATCGATGTTTCCATCGAAGTTTCTCCACCTCTATGACTGGTGCATTTCGATAATTCGGCCTTTCCGTTTTGGACATTGGCCGCTGAATATATTTTCTTCAGGATCTACATAAACCATATCGCGAAAAATTTCAGACATCCTAAGCTTTTCTGAAGTTTTTCTTTTACCAGTCTGTTGCTGTTGAATAATGGAGGTAAGATTTACTATTATTTCGTGGAAAAACCCCGTTTCTGGGAAAGAGTCATAAATTGCACCGTCATGATCGGCATTCACCATAAAACATCAATTAAAAATCTAATCAAGAAAGTGAACGAAAAACAGTGAAATTTCAACCAGTGTTGCCACCTAGCGTCCACGCTGAAAATTCTTGTGAATTCCAATCCAGACAAATCTGTACAAGTTCATGCGCGTCCGTGCAACTTAGTACCAACAACATTGTGCACCCACCCAGCGGGAATGTGAGAAGTTGGTTTTTGTGTTCTTGAAATCCTGTTCCTTTTTGCAGGCGGCGGTGTAGGGATAGATAATTTCTGAGCGTTAAATGAGGGTGGGTTTCTGAGTAGCATCAATATCAGGCCATTTATGCGCTGTGTGAGTTCTGTGGCACTACGATTATAATATTTTTTAACAAAAAAATCACCAACTTATAATATTAAAAAATCCTATGATTTACACCAAAACCAAAAGACTTGTTCTCACATTTAGTTTTAATTTTTAGTTATTTTAAAAGTCGTAGAAAAAATATTAATAACACTGTGCAGCATTTTTACTGTTTTTTTAATTTACCTCGACGGATGCTATATTTTTGGATTCCTTACGAATTCCCAAGTTAAACTGCGTTTCCCAAAAAGTTTCCCGACGCAAGGATTCTTAGCAAAAGGACCTCAAAGTTCGAAAAATGCTGAAATTGCCCAACTTTTCGTAGCTCCCAGAGGCAAACGGATTCATGGTTTGATTCGATGTTAAAGTTTTTTAAAAGATAAACCCTTTATCATTCAAACCCCTTACTTAGAATAATTTTAGAATTTGTATTAAGGGAGAAACAAATTTTAGAAAACATAGTCAAAAAACATAAAAGCATACAGCTGCGGTCAAAATAGTAGAGGTCTTGCCGTCCTGTGTTTTTAAAAGTTTGTTGTTGTAACTTTTTTTATCCAATTAGTCTAATAGTAAAATTATAATCAATACAATATTACCAGGAAAAGATCAATTACAACAACAAACTTTTAAAAACGCAAGGCGGCCACACTACTACTATTTTGACCGCAGTTGTATGTTTTTAGTTTTTTGACTATGTTTTCTGGAATTTATTTCTGCCATAAAAAAAATCCTAAAATTATTTTAAGTATGGGGTTTGAAAGATAAAGGGTGTATCTTTTAAAAAACTTTAACATCGAATCAAACCATGCATCCATTTGCCTCTGAGAGCTCCGCAAAGTTGGCCAATTTCAGCATTTTTCGAACTTTGAGGTCCTTTTTCTAAGAATCCTTGCGTCTGGAAACTTTTTGGGAAACGCAGTTTAACTTGGGAATTCGTAACGAATCCAAAAATATAGCATCCATCGAGGTAAATTTTTGATGCTGCATAGTGTAATTGTTAATCAAAAAAATCAAACTATATAAAATTATTATCATAATGTCTATAATTATAATATTAATTTATTTTACTCAACATTTTTCAAATAATAATAAGGATGAATGTGGGATTCAACCAAATTATAGAGAAAAGCCACGGTAAGACGATTAAAATATTTGATCACATTTATCAAGGAATTACATTAAATTACAAAGAAAACTATTGTTGGTTTTTACATTTTTAAACATTTTCTGTGAAATAAAATAATTTGATCGTCAGATCGTGGCCTAAGCCATTTTTAAGTGTTGTTAAAATATAAAAATTCGTGTTGGTGGTATTGATAACACGAAAAATGCCTAATATACCTATAATATACGTAACCTTTAATGATTACGGTCCCTGAAAAGTATTGTTTAAATATTTATTGGGCGCCAAAGTGTGACCCAACTTTACAACGAAATTTATACCACATTTATCTGCATTTTGTATGGTATTATCAAGAATATAATGCAGGGTCACATCATTTTTAAATTTGTTGGAAAAAGTGAAAAAAAAGTGAAAATAGTTAATTTTAATCTAAAAAACAATAAAAAAGTGAGTGATAAAATGAATTTTGTCTTTTTATAATCTTTATTTCAGCGTTACAAAGGTTAGTATCACAGATATTTTCCGCCATTAATAAATATACGCATCCGGATGCTATCTGCAACACAAATTCTGCATTTCAGTGACACTTGAAATGTTTTTAATCTTTACCAGTGGTAAATGGTGTGAGGTGTTCATTAAATGGTTGTATAAATAGTACTTCAGTACTAACTTAGTTGTTTAACTTAATCAAAATATTATATTTATTTCAGACTGAGACTTCTTGGGACCAGAAGTGTTGCGCCTGCGTTTGTCATATTTTATTTTTTCTTCTCATAGTTTTTGATATAGATACCCGACATAGAACAACTGAACAGAGGGTAAATTATCGGCCATGGCAAACCAGGCATAATTTCTGGAGAGATCCTTTAATTTTGTGCGGAGACCTAATAATGGTAATTACTCTTATTATTATTCCTGGTCTTACATTCATATTAGAGCCCTGCATGAATGGATTCAATTTTTAATTTTCGTAGTGTGCCATGAAATTTTGAACTCATTCAATTCAATAATAAATTCACTTAACTGAATTTAAATTGAGTTGAATTTTTATTTAACTCAAAATTCAAAAAACCTTTTGAAATGAAATTTAATGACATTCAAATTCATTCTGATTGAATGAATGAATGAATCAATCTAGTCGACCTGTCTGAATTTTACAAATTTGTCAGAATTTATTTTTGCTTCCTACGGAAAACAACCAGACGAAAAATTCTTTGAAAAAAATTGTAAAAATGTCGACCGAAAATGTAAGTAATTTTAATCGAAAAAAAGAATATATTTTTGCTTATCTTTTTGAACCAGATGCAAGTATAAAGATTTTTTTTGTTAATTTTTTTAATAGATTGAACTGACGACTGATATTGTTAAGCAAAAGCTTATGAGTGGAAAATTTTCATTTTCCAGCAAAAGAGGGCGCAGTAAGGTTTGGAACATTTTTGCAAAAAATTATAAATGACAGCGGAGAGGAAGTAAATGATATGGTAGCATGCAGGAAATGTTTCAATGCATATAAGTTTAATGGAAGTACATCT